TTCGAACAAGAGGTTTTCGAAGATACCACTTACAGTGACCAGGTTGAAAACCACTTCTTCTTGATGAGAATAAAAGTTACCTTGATAAATTATATCAAACAGGAAGTCAGTAGTCTAAGATATCACTTAATTCAGTTTAGGCAGGTGAATGGTATCACTAGCCCTCACACCGCAAATGTGACTAAAACTAAGGAGATAAGTGTATGTCATGGATATGCTGCATAAGTTTTACTATGGAGAAAACAACGTCCAGAACAAAATAAAAGATATTTATTTTGTTTCAGTAAGAAAGCTTTTTGTATAGGAATCAATGGAGAATAATCAACGTCAAGCATGCCTACTCCTCTTTGTAGTGGTTGGATTTTATCAACCTGTAATGTGGCCAGTAGTTTAAGTGGCTATACAATCCGTACACTATTCTTTGACGTAAAGTGATAGAGGGTAAGCAGCAGAAATCTCTGGACTAAGATTTTCTATTAATTCAGTGGTAACATTCAACCGTTTATGTTCAAATTTCAAAGGGATCATCAGCTCCCTCATAAAAGGCCAGGTAGGCATTGATGAAAAGCATCTGATTGTATGTAATCCAAGTTACTCGTTTTCTCTAAAGAACCCCTAAACATCAAAAGATTTAGATGTGAACCTAAAATAAATAGGTCACTAGCGACTAGTATGATACATTTAGTTGAGATTCAGTCCACGTCGATCATCGAATGACATCGATGTTATCTTACTTATGGCGTAGCTTTACATCAGAATTTCGAGATCATTAATCAAAATTAGGTGCCAGACAGTTCACAATTATCATTGCGATTAATAGTTGTGCAAACTATTCATTTACCACTTAGCTGACAACATATTTACACTGATCCACTGTAGGATAGTGCGTGGCTTTGTATACATACATGTATCCTGGTCTCTTTGATAAAAGTGAGTTATTCTTGACAAGTACTCTCTATCTATTCACTCCGCGGTTCCACATTGCGAGAGCAATGCTTCAATATCACCGTGAAGTTGTGCATCTGTAGTTCACTTATGGTCTGAAGCATGATGGTCAATGTAAATACTAATGTGACTTGAATAATTTCAATTACCGTGGACAATGCATTGAATTCCAGTTTTCAGCTAGTCAAAACAATATAACTTAACAAGTAATGATACAAGATACATAAAACTTCACTAATGTCAGACTCAATTAAACAAAAGATGACCAATAGGAAATGTAAAATCGATTATAAAAATCCGTTTCTGATTTTCACTTTTACAAAAGCAGACTATGACACTTATTAGTTTATATTTTCTTGTCAAAATTTTCTCCTAAACAAGATCATCACGTCATGAAGACATTCATTTTAGACGTTGTCAAAGATGTTTCCTATCTACCAATCTTCTGTTGTTTTATTACGTGACTTTTTTATTATATATTGAAGTGAGGTTTGAATATATTTGTTCCGAATAAATATTCTCCTAATAAATCATAATTTGCAATTATTTGTTTCTATGTGATGAAGGTCTAGGTGAAGAGACATTTGAGTATTTGCTTACAGTACGTGATCAAAGTAGTCACCACAACTATTTATTTATTTATTTAAACACAGAAATATTGGTACAAGGAAGCACCAGATAAATATGCGCCTCACAAATCTCATTCGATTTGTGTGAGGGCTGTGATACTGTCCAGGTGCCCAGACTGAAGCAGATGGTTTTCTTAGAGGGCCACACCCCGAGCCTTTGACCTGAAGGTCTAATTCACAAGACAGTAGAGCATCGTGAAGAGATGCAGTTCCATAGTAACCGGTGACCAACGATCGGTTCATACGCCATTCATTCAATCAGGATACTGGAGCCCATGTGCACCATTGGTTTGGAATGAGGGCTTTCCAACTCCCCTAGGTAAATATTCCGCGTCCACCAACCCGGTTAAAGCACCGGACATTCGCCTTTTGTCCTCTCGATTTCGTAAACAATACACGTGGTGCGAGAAGACAGTGAGTAGGACTTCCCTGTCAGAGGCTATATATTCGCGTGGCCATATGAGAGCATTTCGAGAGGGAGAGCAGACTCCCCCCACTCTCGGCCGTACCAGGGCATTAATAAAAAATACCTCCACAAAAATTGTATAAACTATATCATATTTCGCAATTTTCGAGTCCTGGGTTCGAACCTCGCGAGTGTGGGATCGTGGATGCGCACTGCTGAGGAGTCCCATAATAGGACGAAACGGCCGCTTAGTGCTTCCAGGTTTTTGATGGTGGTCTAGCTTCAATTGACTGATTATTTCAACTAGGAAAATACTGAAATCTCCACAAAACCCCCTCTGATCCAATCCTTGTGTTGTTTAGGTTTTGTTAACCTTAGAAATGTGGGTAATCTATTCTCATACCAGTTAGCATTATAAGATATTGTTTAGATTTAACATTAACGTGACGTCATGTAAGGTATAGATGGGTGGTTGGATCAAAATGTGTCATTACTTCATTAACGGTTGAACTGAGCTTTGTAGGTAGATGGAGACTACTTGGTTAGAGTTCGTGAGATTATTTAGACTGATGTTTGCAGACGTTGGATGAAATGATTCATAATAACGTAGATAAATCCACTCTTTGTTTTACTTCACTTTAAAGATTATATTATAATTTTCATTCCATGAATTCATTCTTTTTTATCGAATCATATTTTCTGTTGCTAATTTTTTCGGCGAGACTATAATTTATGGACGAGGCAATCAGAAGCGTTTAAGAGATTTCAAAGTCACGGCGCTAATTTCAGTGACTGACGCTCATGTACGATCGGTTTACAGAGAATTTTAGGAAAGAAATGACAATTAGGCGGCTACAGCAAATATGACTAATAAGAAGTTCCTGTATTTGTAATTGTGGTAATTAAATGACTCCTAGACCGTGTTCAGACTACCGTGATGTAATATATGTTGGAGGAAGACGTCTGTTAGAATAGGAACCTTTATCGCTCGATCCAGATTGAGAATAAGGCATATTATAATAATTGCCGCAAACTGTATAATAAAAGCACCAGTAACATTGGCTGAAATAATCGCAGATGTTACTGAAACTTCAGCCGTTCACTTGTATGAGTATTGTAAGGACATATCCATAATAAAAATGATAAACTTACACAACCAGAGTACACACAAACAATAACGAAGCTATGTGATCGAGGCTGAGAGGGCTTTTGTGACCTTATCATGGTTCTAGAGGCCAACTATTATGAATGCATTAGGATGACTTCCTCTACCTTATGAACTACGATTTTAAAACCTTTGGACGTTTTTCTAACCTTGACAAGTTTTTGGACCATATAAAAGAGATGTATCCACTTCAATTATTTGGTTTTGTATAATAAATTTTTACTCTATACTGACTGTTAACTGATTTGCTAACATTTCTCAAGATCACTTAAGATTCGTTCAAAAATTGTCCATAAATTATAGTCTCGCCAATTTTTCTTATCCCCATTCATGGTATTACTATATCTACTACTCTGACACGTCTTGATAATTTCATCTAGGTGTGCTGATGTGGTATAACATAATCATCCTTTTTGCAAAGATTAGACAAAATCTTAAATATGTACCCAAATGTGATGCGTTTTGTTTATAAGTGAGACAAGTAGGATAATGTTCACAGCTTCATGTTAATCATTTCCTGTTTTTATTCAGATACTAACTCCTGCACATCATATTTTCTCTGGTCTCTTCAAAAATATTCTCAATCAAAACCATAAACAATTGATTTTAGAAGAATTTAATAGTAAATCAACCACTAATCAAAAGGATTAGGATGAAGAAGGCTATTCATTTTGTTAGTGGAATAGATAGCCCCCAAATGCTTTGGTACGGCCGAGAGTGAGGAGAGTCACCTCTCCCTCTCGAAATGCTTTCATATGGCCAGCGAATATATAGCCTCTGACAGGGAAGTCCTACTCACTGCCTTCTCGTAGCGGGGGTGTTGTTTACGAAAGTGAGAGGACGAAAAGCGAATGTCCGACGTGTTGGTAGACACGGAGAGTCAACCTAGGGGAGATGGAAAACCCTGATTCCAAAACAATGGTGCACATGCGCTCTAGTACCCTGAAGGAACAAATGGAGTATGAATCAATCGTTGGTCACCGGCTACCATGAGACTGCATCTCCTCACGATGCTCCACTGCCTTGTGGATCAGACATTCAGGTCAAAGGCTCCGGGTGTGGCCCCCTAAGAAAACCACCTGCTTCAGTTTGGGCACCTGGGCAGTATCTCAGCCCTCACACAAATCAAATGAGATTTGTAAGGCGCATATTTATCTGGTGCTTCCTTGTACCAATATTTCTGTGTTTAAATAAATAAAAAAATAAGTGGAATAGATATATCATGAAAATGATAGGACAAATCGGCCGTCCAGTGCTTCCAGGTTTTCCATGGTGGCCTAGCTTCAATTGACCCCCAAATGCCCTGGTATGACTGAGAGTTGGAAGAGTACGCTCTCTCTCTTCAAATGCTCTCATATGGCCACGTGTATGTAGCCTCTGACAGAGAAGTCCTACTGACTAAATTTTCGCACTAAGGTGTTGTTTATGAAATTGAGAGGCAGAAAAGCGAATGTGGACACGGAAAGTCCATCTAGAAGAGTGGAAAAACCCTGATTCTAAACCAATGGTGCATATGGTCTAGCTCCAGTATCCTGAGGGAACAAATGGAGTATGAACCCATTCTTGGTCACTGACTACCATGGGACTGCATCTCCTAACCATGCTCTACTGCCTTGTGGGTCAGATCTTTAGGTCAAAGGCTCTGGGTGTGGCTCCCTAAGAAAACCACCTGCTTCAGTTTGGGCACCTGGGCAGTATCACAGCTCTCACGCAAATCAAGTAAGATTTGTGTGGCGCATGTATATCTGGTGCCCTTTTCTACCAATATTTGTGTTTAAATAAATAACTAAATCAAAATATAAAACAAAATACTAAGATCTCCACACGACCCACTTCTGATAAAACAAAATAGCTAAGCATCTGATTAGTCTGACTCTTGAGGACATATTAATGTATCATTAAAAAAACCAATGATAAAAGTACATTATGTTTTGTACTTCTCATTATCAATCACTTAATGATAACATAAAATCAAAATAGAACAATGAATTATAATTGAATAAAAATTAAAAAAAAGAAAATGATTATGTACATGAAATTATAAACTCTGCCTGTAACTCTTCTAGAGTTACTGCCGGTTTCGAACCCGGGTAAAGGAAAAGGGTTGGGCATGGGGGGGGTTAGTGACCCCATCCCGTAGAATTCACATGAAATAATAAATTACATACATAAGTAAAATTCTATTTGTAAATATGATAAATAAGTTCAGCAAAAGAAAATACAGTTTCATATATTTCTTTTCTTTACAAGTCTATTTGAACTTATCATCTTTCTATACAGATAAATTAGTTGTTGTTATAATTATTATATAACAAATTCATAATCGATAGACTCTTTCGGGAAACTCAACTGTGATATTGACGTATGATCATGTTGCTGTTGTTGTTGTTGTTGTTGTTGTTGGGCGAGGTTACAATGATCAGACAATGGGAGAGGTAATTGTGGAGAATTTAAGTTATATATGTTACCGGTAATTAGACTAGACGTAGAGTTAGAAGATTGACAAATCGACGATATAATTTCTGTCTTTTCTCCTGTTTGTAACAGTAGACATCTGGAAGAGGGCGATGCTATAGATGACGATGGTGATGAGGACGGAGGCATATTTGAATGACCAATTAAATATCCAACAGAAAAATTAGAACATTGATCCGTAACATCTGGAATTTCATCATGGTCATTTAACTGAGCAGCAGAATAACAAGTATTTTCTATATTATTCATGATATTCGGTGTATTACTTAGAGTATTATAACTATTCTTGTAAGATAGATTGATATTACTGATAGATGTGTTGTGATGATAGAATTGTCCTAAGAAGTTAGCACAATCATTGAAGTTGTTTTCATATAACAGAGACGACGATGATGATGGTGTTGGTGTCGATATAGATGACGATGGCGATAACAAAGAGCTAGGAGAGAGAACTCCAGTAATACTTGTTACCGGATTTGATATTATCTGATCATGACGAGACTGTGGAAAATTTAACAATTCAAACGGTTGTTGATGTTGTTGTCGATCAAGATGAATTGATGAAGGAGACAAATTGTTAGAATCTGGTGATGGAAATTTCGGAGAATAATGAGGATAATCTAGGAATTCTGTCGAATGATTATTATTGTTATCATTTGTTGGATTCCATGAGAGCATTACGCTAGTATCTAGTAAACTTGTCGTTATTTGATGGGCTTTGTTGTTATTACTGATAGTTAGATTGTTAGTAGAAACATGATTGTTTGCCAAACCAGCGTAGTCACTATCCTCTTCTTCCGCCTCTTCCCCATCATCGTCATCAACATCATCATCGCCACCATGGTTACTACCGTCGTAAATGAAACTATCATGTGCTTTGGACATAAGTGGAAACACATGTTGAATCTGATGATATCGCTGGTCATAATATTCCACAGGATAGGCATCGCCGTCATCACCGGTGAAGAGGACTGATGTTGCATTATGGTTATTAGTAGGATTATTGTTATGGGTATTATTAGCCGTATTAATTGTGGAGCAATGTGGATTGATATGAGCTTGAAACGGACGATTTTCTTGTTTATTCAACATTGGTGTTTCACAGTCAACGGGACGCCATATTGATGTCGACTGGTTGATTGATGTAGATGACAATGAAGATGAGTTAGGACAAGACGAGGAAGATGAAGCTGGTACATGAACCGAAGAAGAATGTGTGGTTGTTAAAGTTGACGAACAGCGTGTTTCATAGAAAATACAATTACTATTGGCCAATGACAACTGTGGAGACTGAGAACCAATTTTCAATACTGTCCCATTCATCATATTATCTACCATATCTGTGTGAAGCGAATTTAAAATATCAACAGACGATATTGACTGAGGTGTATCTTCCACAATATTCATACCATTAACAATGTCATCATTATTATCAACATTCAGGCCAGTGACATCTGAATCATGACTAAGATTATCATTGATTTGAGTAGGATTACTGTTGTTATCATTATTACTATTAAAATTATTATTAGTGGTAGTAGTAGTAGTAGTAGAAGCAGTGGTAGTTATGGCAACTGTACTTGTGGCATCATTACTGTGACTGCATAAAACACCATTTTCAATCGTTTCAGTAGCTGTAATTAAATAACATAGACTAGGTTCTAGTTGACGTGATATCATTGTAGACCAAGAGTTAGTATCATTATTATTTGTGATCACATCAGGGTTGACATTGGTATTATGACTTATCGATGATGTGGTTATCGCAGAAAATGAATTAGTAGTCAATTGAATCGGTAACAATAAGTTCGACTGTAAAGTTATTGTGGTTCCAGCTACTTTTGGCGATGACGACAATGTTGAAGAAGTTAGCATCCCATTGGACAAAGATGATGAGGAAGAAGAAACAACTAAGGAAGTTGGAAACGCTGTTGCTTGTTCATAAACAGGATCACGAACTGCTATCATCATTTTGTGTTGAAGATTATCATGGCTGTCACTAAGTACATCGGTGGGTTCAAAAAACGCACGACTATTTGCATCCAAATCACTAAAATTCAACATAAATACAGTAGAATTATTATCAAGATCAACTGCTTGATATCCAGAGGTATCAGTTGGAATAACAGAACCTTCTGTTGTCACAATGACGTGATCTTGTGTTGGCAATATTTTTGGTATGTTTGATGGCAATGATGATGATGACGTGTCAGAACATGAAGTTGAAATAGTAGGACTGATTAAAATACTTTTATCGATATGATCAGAAATATTGATTATGTTGGAAGATCTCGAATCCTGATCAGGAATAATGTTCATCAAGGTTTGGTGATTTGACGACAGGTCAGATCCAGGTAAATGTGGCTAAGTGTATTTCAAAGGCATATATATACGATTAATAAACCCCCGTTCTCAATGTTAATTAAAACAATAAATTATGCATGTAAAAACTGATTTGAAGTGAATAAAACAAATATCAACACTCCAGTTCGCTAGCACTTAAGATAGCACTTCATAGAATCAGTCCCATTCAAAAATTTAGCTTAGGTATGGCTGAGGAGGAAGCAACAAAATACGAATTCATTTTAAGTTGATATTGTGAATGGATCAATGTTAGACCACCATTGAAAACCTAGGAACACTGAACGGACGTTTTGTCCTACTATGGGACTCCTCAGCAATGTTGAGTCTAACATTGATATTAAGTTAAACTCAACAATCTCCACAACTCTATGATGATAAATTCATTTCAGTCTGTAAATATTATCGTTTTTGCCTAGTTTAAATAAAAGAGTGGAAGCATCTCGATGTCAACCTTTAATTCATGCTACTGCATAGTCTGTGAATGGATGTTTAACTCTACTGTTAGACCAATCAGTGTAAATCACTCATCAATCTTGATATTGTGATTTCCAATTGGCTACAAATGCATGTAAGAATAGTACTTTGATGATTCACAATCACAGGCCACTTGTTAATCTCTTGTTACAGTCTCACGAGTCAGTAATTATCCGGTAGGAACAATCATGCTTTTCTGTTCAATAACATCTATTCGCCTTGATTACTACCATTTCCGTACATTTATTTATATCAAAAATAAGCAACATCTATGTCCTATATTATCCTCTTGTTTCATGCACTGAGTCAAGTTGATGCATGCATTATGATCATAGAAAAGTAAATTTTGAATTATTCGTGTACAATTCAAAGAATAGTGTCGAAGTCATTACCTCCTAAGAGTAGAATATTTCATTTCATCCTTACGCAGATACATGGACAAATATCAGTACTTATAAAAGTTGTGTTCATTTGCGACTAACTTTGAGATGGATTTCACAAAGTCATAGTAGAAAAACGTGACTAATGGGGTTCAAACATATCGAAGATTACCAACGGTAATGAATGTTGCTCGTGTAACATATTAGATTGACCGACAGATGGAGATTCAGTGGTCTGAAAGTTAGGCGATGGCTATGAGACAATGCAGAGTCCGAATTTAATCCCTAGCTCGAGCTCTCGTTATTGGCTACTCGAGAGTTCGGAACAAAAGTCAAATAGCTGTCTGATTTTCCCTAATTCTCAACAGCTGCCTAATAAACTAAATTAACTCAATCACCAGGGAATCCGGTATGGGCCATAACTTTAAGTGTAAGGGTTAGTAATACTACCTGGTTGCCCAAAGTGAAGTAGAATGGGGGTACGAAATTGGAATCCAGCGACCGAAAGTTGAACCTCTTAAAAACTAAGTCACATATCCATCTACTTAAAGTCAATTCGTGACATCGATCATAGAGAGAATAAAACGCTAATGAACATATTTTAAAAACCAATTAACATACCGTAATGATTTCAACAGGAATAACCTGTTCAACTGTTTGTTGACATGATGATACATGATTTTGATTCAAAAGACTAGTTTCATGATTATTTATGTTACTTGATACTTTGTTACATGGTTGACAACTTTTGGTCCTTTTTTGCTTATTATTCAATGAACTGCTACGTTGACTTGTTGATAATTTCTTAGTGGAATCCATCATAAGTAATTCATCGTGGTTATTAATTGATTGGTGATAGTGTTTTAGTTTATGTGTTCGTAAGAGATGACGATTTAAATTTGACAAACGCGTAAATGATGTTGAACATATTGGACATAAATGATAAACACGTTTCTCATGTGTTTTTTTGTGTCGCCATAGTGTACCCGCAGTCTTTTGAAAATGAGGAAAAAATGAAATACGATAAACACTGAACAAAATTTACTAATAATAATTATTACACTGATTGCCCATTGAATAGTGACCAACATTAATGAAAGTCTAGTTCTGTCGATCAATTCCCAAGGTGGACACTCGTCTAAGGGACTCAAAGGTTGATCTTTTCTACAATCCCGAATCTGAAATAATTGAAGCAGTGTCATCAGCGGTATGCTGATGGAACATTGAAGACTATACCACTCATGTGCTTACTCACAACTACATAGTTCATAATATGAAATTCAATATGATAATTCCATTGGTTTACATTATAATGAACAAAGACATTACAAACTCATCTATGTTCATCTTTAGCTCAATAATTAAAATAACATCCAGCTTCAAATGAATCAACTATCATGACTGATTACAAACATTCATCCTTATAAGTATCTCATAAAGTAAACCTAAATGTAATACACTAAGGTTGGATGTTCCATCTGAGCCAATATATATGGTAGAGAGTAAAACAATCACTAAACCTTTAGCAACAGATAAAAATTTTGCCTTGCAGACCCATCAGTTAGTAACATCAACTATTGTACTGGTTGCAGATATTATAATTGCATTTGATAATCTAATGGAAGGACGGAGAAGATCTTCAGGACAGATGAATGCTACTGGAGTTGTTGAGATCTCTGAGCTAGATGGTTTAAGTACGGAGCTTTGGTTGTCGCTCTGGATATCATCAACGCTTGCTTCAAGTAAAAGGGAACTTTTTGGACATTCAGTAAGTGGACACCTTCACAACTTATACATGATATGATATTCATGATATCGAAGCATGTAGACAAATACAGACATGAATTCTACCGGGAGGATTTTGAGATTCTGGATCGTGGTAGTTGGATAAAGGTAGGAGAATTACTGGAAGAATGACATTCAGATCAACCAACAATCAACAAACACATCAATTTAGATCTGATTTACCAAGCCATTTGAATAAGGTCAAGCAAAAACCTGATCAAGGATCAACGGAACGAAATAATCGACTTGAACACAAAAATAACTGAAGACAAGTAAAACCTACGAGGATGAATAATAACAATCAAGGCTTTGATGATATCTAGAACGACAATGAAAGCTCCGTAAATACATTTAGCCTAGAGAACACAATAACAAAAACAATCTAACGCAGTTACCATACTTCGTATAGAAAACAGAAATCACAGCGGTGAGAAGTTATTTTTGCTACTGCAACCCCTAATTATGCATTCCTACCCTTTTCCTAAAAATTTAAAATACTTTTGAAGGTCAACTTGAACAATAAAAAGATGCGAAATGGTAGTAAGAACTTTACTCCAAGGTTAATTTATATACACAAAATCGAGGGTAATATGGCACCTCTCTTACGATTAGGTTTATTTTTTCAATCACTTTTTGGACTGATGTCATGTTTTCGTTTTCACGCCGCTACCTTTCTTCCAAGTATTCTTACACCAGAAAATATCCACTGTTGAAGCAGGTAGTTGTTGAGCTTACGTAACACGTATCCCAACCACCTCAGTTGATGAAGATTTGCTACTTCACCGATCGATTTGCTATCCTTATCTAGGGCCTTATTACTAACCCTAGCATTCTTTACTCCGTGGTCTCAAAATACATGAGCAATACTTCGTAGGCATCTATGGTCTAATACGAGTAACCTACGACGATCCTCTCTTCTTAATGGTCATGTCTTACACCAATAAAGTAGAACGAAGCTGACTTCTGCGTAATAAATTCGTCCTTTGACTGGACAAAGGATATCTCGCCTACACCATAGATGACGTAAATCGACAAACACCAATCGAGCTTTCTGAATTCGTGCTGAGATTTCGTCAGACACTAGACCATCAAAATTGTTAAAACTCCCAAGATAAGTGGAACAGACGATGCGTTCAACTACTTCACTTCCTATAACTAATTTAGGAGATGACCCAAACTGACATAGTTTCACCAACAGTCGGATTTTTAACACCCGCTTCTTTAAAAAGTCTGGACATTTGTCCACTGTCTCTTATCACTACTGTATTTTCCACCTCTTCTGCTTTCGCTACCCACCACTGCTCAAGATAATCACGTGGGCTTCTTATCAGCCGTACCTCATTTCTACTTTGCTACGTCAAAATCATCTAGCTCTAGTGAATGATATTTTCCAAAATGGTGAAGTTCTACAATGAAGGAGGACGTTGAGGAACTCTATACTGATGACCTGAACATCTTCAAAAAGTAAACCTATTCGTGTTTTGATCTTTAAAAAAGTGATAATCTTACGTTACTTACAATCCTTTATACAATATCTGGGTAAAAACTCTGAAAATCCATCCAATAGTTATCATCAGATAATTGGAATATGAATTTTTTCGTATCAATCATGAGGAATTTAAACACAATTTCTAGATTTTCGTTTTGCTTAAAAATATCATGAAAGCGAGTGTCAATTCGGATTGGTGTAAACATATTAATTGTAATCTTACTTTTCATTGGTTCGTCCCTCTTGTAAAACCCTCGCCTTTTACAGAACAATAATTAAAAATTCATAGAAGGCAATATGACAAAAATTGTTACTCCATGACTGGCCTGTGTCAACAGCTGAACTAAGGACAGAGAGCAAAGTAGTCGAACACGTCGACAACTTCATTTATCTTGGAAGTCTGATCAGCCCTAATGGGTTGGTGTCTGACGAAATCTCAGCACGGATTTAAAAGGCTCGTTTGGCTTTTGCCAACTTACGTCACCTATGGCGAAGACGAGATGTTAGGGGATGATGATAAATCAGTTGATGAGGTCATGAATCTTCATCGACTGAGATGGTTGGGCCACGTGTTACGTATGCCTGAACACCGATTACCACGACGCGCTATGCTGACTAGTGTAGGGGATGGTTGGAAAAGAGTTAGGGGCGGCCAAACCAAAACGTGGCATCAGTGTTTGAAGTCACTAACTTTTAGTCTGAGCCATGTTGGCACATGCAAACTATCTGGTTGGGGTTCGCGTGACGATCGTATCCAATGGTTTGAGACTCTGTGTGACATGGCTCAGAATCGATCACAATGGCGTAGGTGTATACACTCTTTCTCTTCCCTTAAACCTTGAGATTAAGATTGCTTCATAACTTTCTTCCTTCCTATACTATATCCTTATATACAATCTACATTTTATATACTACCACCACCACTAAATTAACTACTACTATGAATCTGGTGTTCATCTTGTTGTGCTAACGAGGTATGGCAACTCGGACCGATGCATATGTGTGCCTAGTCCTAAGTTGTAGCTGACTGACTGACTGACATGACAAAAAATAATGCACTTGAGCTAGAAATCTTCATTATTACATATAAGTTGGTGTTTATTGTTATTAATAGTTGCAGTGGTAACAGTAATGATAGTAATTATGTACTTTCGCACTAGTTTATCCATTATATCTATGTTAAAATCAATTTTCAAACAAAATAAATAGTGAGTGAATACACCCTTTGTTTCATATCTTATCATTTTATCTTTAGTTGATACAAAATACGGTGTTTCCATGATAAACAAAACTATCTAATAAAAGATCGTACAATGCAAACATACACAAAACAAATAAACAAGGATAACACCCTGACGATATATACTACTTAAATAATGCGAAAAATAAGTAGTGATGACAATCAAGATGATAATGACGACGATGATATACCGTGTCAATCACAAGTATTTTTAAATAAGGGCGAAGGGAGACTGATGAATTTTATTTTGCATTTTCTATCGCCATTGTTTGCATACAATGTTAATGCAATGACCTCCATACAGTACAGTCACAAACAAATCTACACATTTCACTCGAAACCTTCATCCCCTCTTCCACCCTCATCAATTCAATCTCTAATGTGCATGGTAAAGCATACAGACAGACACAAAAAATAATTATTTGTTACTGCTGAACGAAAACAATCTGATATATACATTGAAAGTTATCAAGAAATCGAATTTTTTTAGCCAAAATAAAACCCATTTTATTTTTAATGGACATCATAACTATTTTGTTTTTGCAGTTGGAAAGTACAATTATTTATACTCAGAAAAGTGGACATGTTTTGATTACTGGAGATTATTACACACTGATAATAGTTTAATGGGGCGAATAGTATGAAATATATCTTGTTTGACTACCACATAAAAGATTACCGTTTATGTTCTTATTGTACAATTATTAGGTAGACGCTTAGACAGGCCCCCAGATGCCCTGGTATGGTCGAGAGTGGGGAGAGTTCAAACTCCCTCTCCAAATGCTCTCACATGGCCACGCCAATATATAGCCTCTATCAGGGAAATCCTACTCAATGCCCTCTCGTGGCATTACTGTTGTGCACGAAATTGAGAGGACGAACAGCGAATGTCCGGTGCTTTAACCGGGTTGGTGGACACGGAAAGTTCACCTAGGGGAGTTGGAAAGCCTTCATTCCAAACCAATGGTGCACATGGACTCCAGTATACTGAAGGAACAAATGGAGTATGAATCAATTGTTGGTCACCGGCTACCATGAGACTGCATCTCCTCACGATGCTCCACTGCCTTGTGGATTAGACCTTTAGGTCAAAGGCTCCGGGTGTGGCCCCCCAAGAAACCACCTGCTTCGGGACTGGGCACCCGGGGAGTATCACAGCTCTCACACAAACCAAATGAGATTTGTGTAGCGCATATATATATATATCTGGTGCCCCTTTGTAACAATATTTATGTGTTCAAATAAATAAATAAATAGACTGTTGTATTTTTACATTCTCCTATTTCTAAGCTGTCGCTTGATCTATAAATTTTTGTCGTTTATTTGTTTGTTCTAGATTTGTCATTAATTAATTATTCCCTCATTACTCAGGTTTTTTATAGCAAAATTATGTATATATTGTATTCTTTCAGAATGTATTGAGGTGAGGTCAGAAATCTCAACCCTATAACTGCACAAGTTTTGAGTTATGGATAAGTAAAGTACAAAAGATTATTATTATTATTATTATTTAAACACATATATATTGGTACAAAAGGGCACCAGGTACATATGCGCCACACAAAATAATGAAAGTAGGAAGAGAAGAGATGAAAAGATAAGGCGGACTGAAATGTACAACCAGAAGACTCTTTCAGTTAAGAAAGTTAGAACCATTCTTTATGTAGAAAGTAGAAGAAGGTTACAGCAGGCACGCCACTGGCTTCTATTCTGAGCCATATCTGATAATGTCTCTAGATACTGTGTTGCACCATCTCTCGGACCCCAGCCAGTGAGTCGTGAAGGACCAACAGAAGCTAGCCTTTGCAGCTTTCTTTCATGCCACGACACCATGTCATACACTGACCTCCTCTCCGCTTTTTCCAACCAGTCCCAGGGTCGGCAAATAATGCACGACGTGGAAGTCTCTGGGACGACATTCGTAAAACATGTCCAAGCCACCGAAGTCGGTGATTCAAGATGGTGGCACCAATTGAATAATCGTCTCTGCGCCCGAACACACGATGCCGAACCTCTGCATTACTAACATGGTGTTGCCACTGGATGTCAGCAATCCTTCGGAGACAACGATGATCGAACACAGAGAGACGTCTAACATCCTCAACTCAGAGAGGTCAGGTTACACAAGCATAGAGCAAAACTGCTCTCACAGACGCGTTGTAGATCCGACCTTTTACAGCCAGACTAACATCACGAAGGCGCCAAAGATGGCCCAGATTGACATAAGCCGCTCTGGCTTTCATTATACGTGCATCAATCTCATCACTCACGCCACCACCAGCACTTATATAGCTACCTAGATACACGAACTTCTCAACTACTTCAATCTGCTCACCATCCAGGGTGAGTACAGGGTGAGAATCGTGCCAGTCTTGTAGGAGTACTTTGCACTTGGAGGGTGCAAAGCACATGCCGTACCTGCGGACACTGATTGCCAACTGATTAAGTGCGGATTGCATGGCTTGAGCATTATCGCACAGTAAGACAATATCATCCGCATACTCAAGGTCGAGAAGTCGTTCTCCAGGCAACATATCCACACCGCCATTACTTACATCCATCAGAGCTATTTCCAGGATGTCGTCGATAGCAAAGTTGAAGAGGAATGGTGAGATCGGGCAACCCTGCCTAACCCCACTGCTCGAATGGAACAATGGAGAAAGGTACAAAAGATAGTTGGTCTCCTTGCTGTCTTCATCTTCCCATTGTAAACTAATAACTGTTAAGATCTCGGTTATCATTCACTAGTCAGTACGTCATTTAGCAAACAGGCCACCCGTTATACTGGGGATATACGCGAAATAAACCATAATTCGAATAATGGGAAGACAATCGCTACAACAACAATGGTTAGATAAAATTTCAACCAACACACAATCTAAGTATCTTTGCCCTTTTTTCACCGTTGCAACAGATAAACTAACGAAGTAACTACAATTTACAATAAACTGAGGAGTAAACAAAACAAACATTTCATAGACGTTTTATAAAAGAAAAGATGAATTGTAGCAATGAAATCCACAATGTGTGTCTCGTAATATTTCCGACTTGCCAGCAAAATATGCCTACAATTGAATGTTTATGTTTACATTGAGATTCGAATTCGGTACTTTTTGCATCATACGCTCAACGAGTTATCCACTGAGCTATTGAGACCACAAAGCCTGTAACTTGTTACACATGTATGATGTTCACTATTTATATTATTATTATTACATCAAAACAGTCTACTCAGGATGCAAATATAACTGATAGAAATTCAGTCCTAAATGACGACAAATAATAAATTACAAAAATTAAACTGAATATCCCTTACCTTGAATCTTTGATCACATTCAGTACAGGCAAAATTTCGTTCATTCGAATGTTTAAATGCTCTATGATCATCTAATTCATGTTTGTTTGTAAAACGTGCATTACATATCTACAGAGTAATCCAATAAAAGACAGCAAATAAAAAGTAACAGAAAAGAATTTTATATATGGTCTACATTGCAGAATTCGTTGACATTAAATTAGTCATAATCAACGTAAAGCTTAGTATAAAAAAGAATATAACGTTAGAATAGTACTTAATTAACATACTGAATAAGCACGATGAGATTTACAAAATAAATTAAGCTTAAAAGGGATCAAAACAATTGTAGTAGCAATGACAATAAGATAATCATTGAAGAATATGATTAACCATACATTAGTTGTTTGAATCTTCCCATTCACGTTGAGGACTGGGGTTGATCAGTCTATTATTAGCATATGTGTATGTTGTGAACATCGCTTCCATATTGCCATAAGTAACAAGCATTCTAAGCAGAGATTATGAATGGCGGGTAGATGTGGAATTCAGGAGGTGCGTTTCGTGTTATTTAATACAAGTTAGTTGGATGTACCTGCATCCCAGAGTTGATGTTCGCTCGGACACTTGAACACAGTACCATTCGCTTCAGGAGCCATCGCGTTATTCACTTAGCTACTGAGTTCAGATAGCCATGGCATATGCAATCGGGTGAAGTTTCATTCACTTTTTATTAGTTCCTTGAACCTTCCTACTGACGTTTAGAAATGCCATTGATCAGTCTATTATTGGCATACGTACATCAGGTGTAGATTGCTTTGGTATTGCCTTAAGTTAAAAGCTTTATAAGCAGTCTTCAACATCAGTAGAAAGATTTATACAACTAATACAAAATTGACTTAAACTTCACCCGATTGTACAAGCTGTGGCTATCTGAACTCATTAGCTAAGCGGATAATGCGATAGCGCCTGAAACGAGCGGCACTGGGTTCTAGTGTCCGAGTGAACATCAAATCGGATGCAGGTACATCCAGTGTCATGGATTTCACAGCCAACCACCATCAAGCTCTGCTCATAATTGAAGAATATGGTTCAAGAAGAAGGAATAAAAAGGTATGAAGTGAAGGCATACTGAAATTCAAGATCTCTCTAGACAAAGACAAACATTGAATTCATTAATCCAGTTGTGACTGATTCTTTAAAATTAATATCCAAGTTTAAATTTATGTTCATCAGTGTATCTTAAAAACTTCTTTAAAAAATCTAGAAACTAATTCATCGTCGTACCGTTCCCGAAACTGATTAGTTAAGTTCGAAATTCACTAAAAGTTTTAATATACATTATCTGGAAGTTTATAGAGTCCTAAAATTACTCATAAGCTTATCAATAATTCGGAGGTAAAGGGCTCTTAAATAAATTTTTAGCCTCTTGATCTAAATCGAAGTTGAACAGCAAAAAAGTTCAAATTACCGTCAAGGAAGTCAGTATCAGTTCACCGCATGTATTAAAAGACTTAAGAAAGGACTTTGCTTTCTTGTAGGAACTAGATGGATATTTACTTATTATGAATAGTTAAGAGAAAAACAATGGGAAAAATTATGCTGATAAGCTTCGAAATAAATAATCCAACTCATTAACCAAGAACAGGTTTGTGTAACCGGCTGTAATCTGCACTTTTTGGGTGTACATACTAATTTGAAGACAAACAATACTACTTATTGTCTGATACTAAATTCAGTGAAGAGATGATTGAAACCTACAACCAAACATATAAAATTCAAGTTTTTTAACAATAAATTCGTCAGGTCTACGATATTATCAATTTAAGAACAGATAATTTACACTTCACATGAATAAACAGATTGATCAGTAAGTAATCTACAATGAACGGTCACTGGAAAACCTAATAACTGAATGCTCACAGCATGTAATTAACTAGGCAGAAAACTGATTTCCTCGAATTTCATTTAGGAAGTCATGGTAACTGCTGATGTTGATTTCGTTACTATCATTATTATTATTTTGGGTCACTTTGCTACTTGTCTTATTGTATTCATGTGGTGTAGAATGATGTATATTTATGACATATTTATGATCATTGGTGGCCTGTTTAAACATCTGGGCTACCTGTTCCTGTCATCTAGATATTTCAACAAGTTATCTAATTTCGTTTGTTTTAATACATCATTATGGATATTAATCGCACAACCTATTCAGGTGCGTTTCTGAAAAGTATAAGACCTTTCGCTGTAAAGGTTACAGAAGGCTTAATCAGAGATATCGTGGTTGCTGGCAATATGCAGCGAGAAGAATGTACATTATCCAGATGTCGATTGACTGGGCTGCTAACTTCTAACTGGCGATCACTCAATATTTATCGTCAGGAAGGACGAAGAAGTAAGAAATGGAAACTTGTTGAAGTACTTTGTGCTGAGAATTCTATATTGTACCAAAAATATGATATTGAATAAACCTAATAATAATAATAATAATAATAATAATAATAACTGTCTGATCAAATTGGAAGTGAGAAAAGATATTCATTGAAGAAAATGAATGGAAAAACTACAAGAAGGTAAATAGACTGAATCCAAAAAGTGAATAATTCTGAAAATACTTTCTTTAATAGTTCCTGACCATTCACGTAAAATCATTATTAATATCTACGGTCACTTCAAAGGAGAACTGAGTGGGTGATGGGTCAATTACAAAGAAATGGATTTTCGGTGATGCATATATAACAAAAGGTCTAACCAAACAATACAAATTTTATTTGGGAACAGATACTTCTGAATGTTGACTAGAAAGCCATTATAAAACCAAAGAAACAGTAAAATTCCTCATACACACTGAACATCCACGACCTTATAGAGGTTAAACATCACAAAGTTCATGTCTGGAGTAAAAAGCTTTATCTTAAAACAATTGACTTGTCATTCAATGATTTAAATCTTCAGATATATTCAAACCAACCATCATTCATGCTTATAAATGATAACTGTCTTATATCCAGGATAGTGGAACCTCACTTGTCGAGATTTCTCAATACAACTCCTCACTAGTGACCCAACATTCATTATTAGAATAACACATTGGTGTAAATAAATTACATCACAGACTGACAAGTTAGCTAGACAACTATTGTAAAGCCAGGAAAACGCTAAACAGATGTTTTATACTATCGTATATTATAGTACATTCATCAGTGACAAAATCAATTCATGACACCAACAAGGATCGAATCCTAAAAAAATAATAGTCTTTAGTATTAAACATTACTTACTTCACAAATAAATTGTTTAACACAAAAATGTCTTGCTAAATGTTCTTCATAAGCTAAACGTTCACCAGTACGAAATTCACAATAACCACAAAAATAACGATATTCATGTAAATGTACAATTTTTTGATGACGTTTTAAATTATAGGCACTTTTAAATGTACAATTACATTCAGTACAATAACGTTGTTTATATAGTAATGTTGATTTAGAAATTAATTGTTCATCTATTTCATTAATTCGGAAATTTTCATGTAACTATGATCAGAAAAAAAAGTGAGAAATAACTAACCAATGTATATTCGTTTTTAAATGATATGAATTATTCAGAATTCAAGATAGAAACGATATCTATATATCTATATAAATGCCATGATACGGCCGAGAGTGGGGAGAGTCTGACCTCCCTCTCCAAATGCTCTCACATGGCCACGCGTACATAGCCTCTGTCAGGGAAGACCTATTCAGTGCCTTCTCACAGTAGCGGAGATGTTGTTCACGAAATTGAGAGGACGAAAAGCGAATGTCCGGTGCTTTAACCGGGTTGGTGGACAAGGCGAGTCCATCTAGGAGAGTTGGAAAGCCCTCATTCCAAACCAATGGTGCACATGGACTCCAGTATCCTGAAGGAACAAATGGTGTAGGAATCAATCGTTGGTCACCGGCTACCATAGGACTGCATCTCCTCATGATGCTCCACTGCTTTGTGGATCAAATCTTTAGGTCAAAGGCTCCGGGTGTGGCCCCCTAAGAAAACCACCTGCTTCAGTTTGAGCACCCGGGGAGTATCACAGTCCTCACACAAATCAAATGAGATTTGTGCGGCGCATATATATCTGCTACCCCTTTGTACCAATATTTATGCGTTTAAATAAATAAAATAAATAAATATCTATATGATATACTGTAAAGAAGCGCCAAAAGAAGGGACATCAGCCCAGTTCCAGCTTTTAGTTTTTCTCTGACTGGTGATTTTATCCAGAATGACAAAAAAATGTAATGACAGAAAGCAAACTTTGCTACTGTTATTGTTTATTTGCACTATGCGCTATACTACTGACCATAATTAAGTAGTCTGAGCCATTATACATTTTTTGTAGAATTTTGGAACTTCGTTTATTGTTAATTCGCTGGTTTATTGATCTAACTGAAGTTGCATTTCTTCTTCCTTTCCTCATCTAACGTTCTTCTTCATGCCATCCTTTGAACGTTATTCCTGTCTTAAATTGAGCCTTTCGCTTAACTGACTTTTTAAGTCACACGAGGTTGACACAGGCATATACTGTTTTAAGATTCATAGTACATTCTGTAACTATAAAAGTATTCAATCAGTTAAACAATCCATCTTCCCTTTATTTTTTTTAATATTGTGATTTATCGGTAATCACTATGTGATTCATTTTCTACATTCGTTTTAGATGGGTTTTTACCTTTGTTCTCTGTATTTTTCCCCAGTAAAACTCGATTATTGATTTGGAAGCATTGGATAGTACTCATACTTAAACAAGTGATAAAGTCCTAGTCAAAAAACGTGGTATGTGAAGACAAAAAAGTGGAAAATGAGACGATAATAAACGAATGACACTTGACGGTGGTTGCATTTTGTCGCAAATAGACAGGGTTTGGTATGTGGACCAACTGATTTTGATTTAGTGATTTAACGGTACGACTTTGGGCATCAAATCTAAATCCCTTAGGTACGATTCCATACAGCATTGTTAGTGAGTACTGCTGACGAGTTCAGATAAAGCGGTAAACGAATGCTCCGAAATTTTGTTCCCGATATCAGTTATAGGACAAATATCAAATTTAAACGAAAAAACTGAAGATTCATTATGTCATACTGGTTCAAATAATCCCGTTTTAATAAGGTTTCAGATTATTCTTTTTTAAATATTTTGTCATTAATTTGTACTTTTGACACTCAAATAAGTTAACATTAATCTAAATGTTCTGAACTGTCATTTTAATTTTGAATATTTTCTAATTGGTTACGTTTTCTCCTAATTCTCTATTTTGCTACGTGTTGCGACGGTCATCGCTGTTAATTTATCAACAGATCAGTTGTATCGTATACTTAACTTATACTAGGAATAGTCAAACATCGCTCAATAAAAACCACCTTTTTTCTCGTTTGTTGAGAAATTGGTGAAATCACAGTTGAACTGCTATTAATTCATATCAGATACGGTTATTCGACAAGAACTGAAAAAGAGAATTTCGTTCCCCTTTCTGACTAGCTAGAAGTAGGATACTTTAAAACTTACTAGTTAGGATAATTGGATAGTCAGTCAGTCAGTCAGCTACAACGTAGGACCAGGCACATTTATGCATCGGTCCAAGTTGTCATACCTCGTTAGCACAACAAGATGATAGTAGTAGTATTATCAGCTCCATCATTCACTGAAGAATGCAGCCCTAAGACAACAAAACTAACATCTATTTGAAAAAATCAGTTACATTAATTAAATTTGTATTTTAACTTACTAAGCCTGTAATTTCATTCTCATTATTATGATTATTATTACTCATAGTATTTGTAATAATATCATTGGTCTGTTTCTTAATCCGTTTTGCATTCTGAATGGAAGCATTCATAGTTATACTGTTATTATCCCTAACAGCTTTACGTTTCCTTAATCTTGTGAACAATCCTGAAGGAGGAAGGCTACTGGATTCATTCGGGATACTTGACAACACAAAGGTGGAAGTGACTGTCGTCGGCGTCGTCATTGTCAAAGTAGTAGTGGAAGTAGTAATCTTCAAATATGGACTCATATTCTCACTGTTATGTAATGATGATTCTTGAGACGTTGCACAATCTGGTATATGAATAATTCTACTATTACTGTCATCATTATTATTAATACTGCTACTACTACGACTGCGGCTAATATTCCGTCGCTTATGGAATGAAATTTCATTTGGTCTCGGTGATAAGCCTCCAAGGCATTCTGGGATATGACCATGTTGAAATAAATAGTGTGCCTGTAAAAAACCAAACAAAAAGAAAACAGATAAGAAGAATGTTTGTGCAGTGAAGTAAAAAACTAGCGGGTACGATACGAATAGTTCAGAAAGCGGCAGTCTCAGAGGCTACGACACTGGATCATGCGGACTCGTATCACACGAGAAGCATAGGACTACGGGTACGCTATTCTGATTATTGAGAATTAGTATGAAACCTAGGTACATGTTCTCTATCTACTGCAAGTTCAATGTTTATGCTTTTCTCCTAATATTTTACTGCAGCGATGATTAATCTAAGCTCATGTGATTATAAATAAATGAAACTTCTAAAGCCTTAGATGCATTGATTAAACTTTATCAATCTCCATGAGAGACAGTAGAAGAAACACAACAGGTAAGAATTTCTACATTGCTAACTTTATTTATTTGAACACATAAATATTACTATAAAGAGGCACCGAACACATATGCACCAAACAATTCACTTGATTTGTGTGTAAGCTGTGATACTGCTCAGGTGCCCAGACCGAAGCAGGTAGTTTTCTTAGAGAGCCATTCCCCGAGCCTTCGACCTAAAGGTCTAATCTACAAGGCAGTGCAGCAACGTGAGGATAAGCAGTCCCATGGTAGCCAGTGACCAACAATAGATTCATACGCTATTTGTCCCTTCAGGATCCTGGAGCCCACGTGCACAATTGGTTTGAAATCAGGTTTTTCCAACTCCCCCAGATGGATCCTCCATATCCATTAATACGAAGGTGCGTGGAACCTAGATTTAAAAGACCATAACAACCTCCTCCCCAACTCATTCATCATTATTCTTGATTCTCTTCACTGTCTTAAAATCTCTAGATTGTCAAGCACTTGACCTAGAATCAACAAGTAGAAGTTTCAAACTTCATTGTCATTTATTTCGGTTTGACTAAGCAGTCGCTCAGAAGCAGTAGACCCAAACGCATAAAGAGGGCGGCACAAAGTTGAATACATGAATTTGGTTACTTGTTAAATGAGTTACATTTGTACGTTGTTGTTAATGTTTCTTCATTATATTACTTCAGCAATTTTTAAGTTTAGTGATATAATAGATTGATTGATTCTAGTTCTAAATAGATGAATAAGTGTTGTTCTAACTAGAGAAATGGGCGCATATTTATGTTGATAGGAAGACCTTAAATTATCCAGTTTTTTGTGGAAAGTCATGTTATTAGATTAAAGTTCTGACGAACAAGAGTAATCTTTAGTTCATATTACAACAATTGAACTTTGATGTTAACTGATTAGTTAATGGTGCTTTTGATTCGCCATATGTGTTAATTACAAGATAACAATTCCTACAATATGAAGAGAGTTCTTGTAATACAATTTTGATTTCTTCTCGAGATAGAAAACTTCTTTTCCAAGTCTTGTCTTCTCTTATCCAAAGGGACTATTCAATAGGGTTGACCATAACCTATAAAAACGATATTACTTATTGCAGACGAGGTGACGCTAGTAGAGAAAATTTATAAACTGATCTTCAGACCTACTACGCTCCTGGTATCTAAATGCTTGCCAATATTATCTACTATTTAGAGGTGAATCAAATACCATTAGCCATAATTTTGACCCCCCCTTGTATACTTAGGAATAGTTTGTACTTATACTAACCCTACCTTAGTAATATTGGTTCATTGTCTAGCGTGGCGTGACTCAGGATACTTCTTACCTGTAGTATCTTGGTTTTTTTCGTAACTTTCAATTTGTCTAGTTTAACCATTTCATATATAAAAATGTCTTGACAAGCAAATGTAGGATCACATTTTTCGAAATGTATTGGTTTCACATACCAAATAATTCTGAAATAAAATTCATCTTCTTACTGCATTATCTAAATTTCTAATTAAACTCTTTTTAAATTTTTAAACTGGTTGCGTACCGCGTCGAACTGGACGTCACAAAATTCGCATTCTGAATGGCTGAATCCCAAGAATACCCTGAAAAATATAAATACTAACTTTTTTCTCATGTAACACCATTGGTTGGATAGAGGAATAAATCTCTGACTTTCTTTTGCAATCCTAATAGTTTGGGGACTCGATCAAAAGATATTTAAGCCATAAATTTGATTGAGTTCACTTTTGAGTTAAGATTCTATTTGGTTACCTAGAGCCATGTGCCATAATACATTTAACTAAAAGTGAAAACAACTATCGATAATGTCAGTCTACTGCGTTTCATTTGAATCAATAAACTATTTGCTATACATTGCACTACTAGTTAATAATGTTAATGTGCCATATGTAGGCTGTAATGAAGCCAAGGAGTTAATCTAAATTGGCTATCTAAATGTATTTATATTAGCTGACTGGCAGTTGCTCAGTTAGCAGAAATGTACCGGAACCTTAAATGGTAAATGACTAATTATTATGAATTAGTATTAATTATAGTGTTGAGTCACTTAGACTAGTGTTCCCAAATTGCACCTTGATCAATAGAATTCAGTAATCAGCACTGAGGACTAGACAATTATAAAATTGGTCAGTAGTGATCAATCAACGTACATTCGGATATTCTATAGTATAAACATACTTTCGAAAAGATTCTGTTCTGTGGCAGATGCTTTTAATAAACCATTAATCGGCTCTTATTGATTGTTTTAGACTATCTTGAACTCTCATTTGTACATTCATGGGATTTCCCTGTCAGATACTACAACTAAAGGATACTGAAGTTTATTTTATTTTAGCTGGATTTGTATTTACAATACGATGGTCTATGAAACATCATTAGTCAATTATTTTTAAGTTATATTATTTGAGTTCAAAACCTCATTTTAAATTCATTCTTCATAACCGCGATATCACTGAACAAATTTGAAACATAAGATAATGACTTTTTCCAAGAAAAACACGTTTGTGTTTATGTAAATGAAAACGCTACTTACGCGCAATCTTGATGATAATCGGAAAACTGCTGAACAATGATTACAAATAAATCGTCGAATTTTAATTGCATTATTAGTAAACAATGTCGAAGCACTGACTCTCTGACGACCAGCAATTGTCATTTTGCGTTTCAATTGTAATTTTAAACGTCTAGTGTTCTTATAACAATGCAACCATGAGCTTCGTCTGTTACGAAAAAATTGGATTTCGCCTTCGGACATATGGCTACCAATCGATGGGGAAGGAGGAACATCACAAGATAGTGCCGTTGTTGTACTCAAATGATCATCAACTTCACCAGTTACATGTTTTTCAATGGAATCACATTCAAAAGCAACTGCTTTTAACCGACGAGCACGCTTTAGTAAAAAAAAGAAGACGGTAACAAAAACGGGTATTAAATAGGCATAATCATTCTGTTCGGGAGAAGTTTTAAAAAAGTCTATTGCAAATACAACAACTGCGAATGGAAAGATTTCTATAGCTATAAAATGATTTTCATCTGCTGTACAAAACATATGCTGAGTGACTAAAGCTGCTAAGACATAAATACACAAAATAACAATCGCATTATACTAGAACCGTCATTACTCTGAGTTGGTTTTACCTTAGTAACCTGTTTTTATTTAGCTAGTAAGTGATCAGAGTTACCACTGCCTAATCGTTCAAATAAATGCACGGAATAAGATATTAAGTTCGCTAGTTCTTTTAATCACTTCCAACCTTCAAACACTAATACCTAATAAACACAACGTCTAGCCACTAAGACCAGTATGCCCACACTAAAAATTTATCAACAAAATTCGATCAACACCAATTTATTTATTTATTTAAACACATAAATATTGTTACAAGGAAGCACCAGATAAATATGCGACATACGAATCTCATTTGATTTGTGTGAGAACTGTGATGCTACCCAGGTGCCCAAACTGAAGAAGGTGGTTTTCTTAGGGGGCCACACCCGGAGCCTTTGACCTAAAGGTCTAATCCACAAGGCAGTGAAGCATCGTGAGGAGATGCAGTCTCATGGTAGCCGGTGACCAACAATTGATTCATACTCCATTTGTTCCTTCAGGATACTGGAGTCCATGTGCACCATTGGTTTGGAATGAGGGCTTTCCAACTCCCCTAGGTGAACTTTCCGTGTCCACCAACCCGGTTAAAGCACCGGACATTCGCTTTTCTTCCTCTCAATTTCGTACACAACAGCAATGCCACGAGAAGGCATTGAGTAGGACTTCCCTGACAGAGGCTATATATTGGCGTGGCCATGTGAGAGCATTTCGAGAGGGAGAGCGGACACTCCTCACTCTCGGCCGTACCAGGGCATTTGGGGGCTAGAAATGGGAGCTGTTCATTACTTAGTGACGAACTAGTGTTGTCATCATACGTTTAGTGAATGTTTGTACTGAAGAATGTTTTAAGGTAAATAAATATTCGCAAATTTACTTCCAAATTATTAGATGAAGCTGTTTGGTAGGAGAAAACATTTTCAGGAAGTTAACTTACGAGGAACAAACCCACAAACAACCATGAAGAAATATGTTAAAAAGAAAATCATTGAATCGTTGAAAAACAGCTCCTTTAACTATAAAAAATTTCTTTTTACTAAATTGACAGATATATACAGAAGTAGTGAACAGGAAAAAGGACTGCTTACTTTATTTTTCAATGTTAGATTATGTTTAACCCGTTGAGCGACCAGTAGACTAGTTAAGAATGTTGATGGACTACAGTTATTTAGTGACTTTTTATTTTGTTCACTATCATTATTGTTATTATTATTATTATTATTATTATTATTATTATTATCATTATCATTATTGCCGTTACTAATATCCAACGAAGTAAGTGTCGTCTCTTTTTCTCCCACATCTTTTGTGTTAGTGATAGTAGAGATGACATCTACAGCAGTGGCATTGGTAGTAGTTGTACTGGTGATAGGATTATCTTCTGTCGTTGTTATTTCTGACATAGTTTTTGTATGGTTTATACTATCTTCGGTTGAATTATGATTATTATCTAAAACGGCTCTTCTCCCACCTTCACGTCGTTTCCGTCCTTCTTGATAATAATTTAATGCATAGAAATGTTCGGTTAGATTACGTACTACACTACGGATAGCTACATCGGATGATGGATGTTCATCTGATGGTGAATTGCACTATAAAGTGAAAATAAACAATTCAGAGGAGTATTGAAGAATACAAGAAAAATGCTCAGAATAAGAAAGCTAAATAACGTGTAATAAATAAACAAAGCAGTGTTGGATATGCTAACTTTCACTTATCAATAATGTAACTCATTTACCAAGGGTATAGGTTTAATTTTCTTGGCTTTAGGGTACAGATATTAATAGCCAACCATTACCCATATTGAGATAGGTGGGTACGATGTTCTGAACCTGGATGGAATACGTTATACTTTTTTTGAACAAATAAACATTGAAACAAAGGGGCACCAAATACATATGCACAACACAATAACAATGAGGCCAGTAGCAGTTATCATTGATTTGTGTGAGGGCTGTGACACCCGCCGGGTGTCTAAACTGAAGCAGGTAGTTTTCTTAGGGGGTCACACACCGAGCCTTCGATTTGAAGATCTAATCCACAAGTCGGTGCAGCGAAGTCAGTAGATCCATTCCCATCGTAGTCAGTGACCAACAATAGATTCATACGCCATTTGTACCTTCAGGATCCTGGAGCTCATGTGCACTATCAGTTTGCAATGAGGGTTTTCCAACTCCCCTGGGTGGATCATCCATATCCACCAACCCGGTTAAAGCGCCGGACATTCGCTTTTCTTCCTCTAAATTTTGTAAACAACACCCCGTTAGCGAGGCAGTGAGTAGGGCTTTCATGGTAGTGTCTGTATACGTGTGGCTATGTGAGAGCATTTTGAGAGGGAAAGAGGACTCTCCTCACCTTCAGACGTACGAGGGTATTCATCGTAAGCCATTGCTTGCTCTAATACACAAGGTTTTTCTGAATAAAAGCAGACTATAAGTTGTTTAAGGGAGGACTGAGAAAGATGAAAATATCAGTTCATGAACTCAATCACAGTTCATCTGACTCATGTAACGACTTACGTGGTTGCAGATGGTCAAAAGTAGACCTGCATCTCAAATTAATGTTATTCGGTATTTATCAGCAAGGCAACTGATAGAATTCAATCAATCAACGACTTATTTACTAAAACCCCTAGAACATAGATAAATTCGGTCGAAAACACTCTACATGAACATCGATTTTAAGGGTGATAGAGATACAAACGTCCTAAAGAGGAGCATTTCCGAGTCTTTAAGAACGTTCTTCGCAGAAACGTTCCGATCATCGTTTATCAATTATCTTAAGAATAAATTATCTCATCTGAACAACTCTATGTGTATCTATTAATTTACCTGCTCATGAGGAGCCAGGTGTATAGATCGTTTGATGCGTGCTTTATCCAAAAAAATTCAAGAACATTACCCATCGTGGCTGAAAAGAAGCGGAAACAGTTCAGTAAGCTCATTAGTCGAACACCTTGAGAACATAGGTCATTCAATCAAGGTAGACTCTGCGTTCAAAGTCATCCAAAAGGCTGCCAAAGACAGTTATGTTGCATCTTCTTAACATTGCTGAGGTAATAGCCATAACTCTGGGAAAACCAGAATTGTATGTCAAAAACATTGGTAGAACTACTTTTTTTACCATGGTCTTAGAGTCTTATAATTTTCTTTCTTCTCCATAATTTCCTTCCTTTACAGTCATCCGCTTCCCATTCCACCTTCTCCATAGACCTTCTACTCCCAACTGGTTTATTTCTGTTTCTATGATTCTCCTGAATACATTTTATCTCAATTTCAACATTTTATCATGCTCATTCATTTAGTTTTTAGTGTTATTATTCAATTCATTTACGATTTTTTTTATTTCATGTCATTTTTTATGTTTTCCTCCGTTTGTTCAGTGGTCTATCGGTTAATGGCTCTGGCTCAAGACTAGTAGGTCCTGGGTTCTAATCTCGCGAGTGTGGGATCGTGAAGGCGCACTGCTGAGGAGTCCCATAATAGGACGAAACGGTCGTCCAGTGCTTCCAGGTTTTCGATGGTGGTCTAGCTTCAATTGACTTATGACTTCAACTTTGAAAAATGTTTGTATTTACTTCAAATTATTTTTTGAGACAGAATCCATTTATTATTTTCATTAAGAGATACAATATGTACTTTGAAATAAAACGCACCTTTAATGATTGTATTTTTTTACGAGTTGATGTTGTTAGTGTGCGAGAAGTGGGAGGTTCATAACCGCCATCTCTCCCTGTGGTAGAATGTGAAGATGATTTATGTCTAAAGAGTGCAACAACAAAAATGCAACACATGATTAGTAAATAAATTAAAAAAGGCTAGAATTAAATTATCACTGACGAATACATCTGTTAGCATGGGAGTTGTGGAGATTGTTAAATATCATTGTGATAAAAGCCCAATTTAAATTAGACAAACATTAAAAACCTGGAAGTTCTGAACAACCATTTTGTTCACTGCAACCTCCGCACTGATATATTATCATGTACTCACTAGTGACTAGCTTAGAAAGAATATTTCCGGATTTCAGTAGAATACTTCTATCCCACTACGATAGATGGAGTCAAGACATTCAAGCTACCCAACTATTGATCATCATTAATGAACAAAACCTAACGTAGTTTTTTGACTGACAGATGTCGTGATTTAATCAAGAGATTCGGAATTGATGTTAATTTGACAGGTGCGTAATTAGGAGTAAGGAATTTAGACACTGTGCTACAGGTGAATCACAGAATTGAATATCACTCCACCTAGTTTGGTCTGAATAACAAGGTAGAAATTTTAAGATCGAAACAGAAAACAAATAACATGGAACAATAAACAAGGAACAGTTAATTATAACTTTGTCAATGAAATGTATATTTGTTGTCCTTTTAGTCTCTATTTCTGTGGAATATACTCATAGATGTCAATAAAGACCTTTCTTTCTGTTCTATCAATGTATGCATCTCGACATATACATTTAAATTGGTAAACATAATTGGATTTAGATGAGATGGGAATTTGTCCAGTTTCGTCTGTCTCAAGGAGCTACCATTTCAACAGCTGTTACATCGCCTACGAAGCTAAGTCTTGAAAAGAGTAGCTTCTTCTTTACAGTAGCACACTACATTCTTCTCATCTGGTTTCCCTATACTTACTGACAAGCCATTATCTCACAGATACTATTAACTATGGTTAGCTCATCTCCAATCTTTTTCTGTGAATACAATTTCTATACATGATTAAATAGTGCTCTAACCAAAGCTTATCTGTAAAGCTCTAAAAGTGACCCGAGGATGGCTTTCAGACTCTTAATTTGTGTGAGGGTTAGTAATACCACTCGGTAATCGGGGCTACGTTTGGATTCATTACCAGTGGTTAAAAGTGCTTAAAACACTAGACTCCCAAGTAACAGATTGCAGGTTGAAACTCCACTTCATATACCTCAGCTTGTGAAAGCAGTTAGGATATGCGTTATATATGCCTAGTCTTTACCTACCTCGAGATCCTATGGTGGTTGGTAACCAAATCAAAATATGGCCTCGATCCGCAAGACTAGAAGCCAATGGTACGGAGAAACGTTGTTTAGCAAGGTTTAAAATAACGATTCTAGTGGTGTAATTTTAAACATTCTTTATCTTCCTCGAAATCTCGAATTCATTGTTTATACTTCCATTTGTCCAACTGAAATCATCTGAATGAACTACATTTCTCATGTTTAGCTTTGCACTGAATTTCATGTTGATCTCTGTCACTTACATTATGTTAATCTTCCTTTTTCACTGTGTTGATGCGAGGTTTGGAAACTGGAACCAATAAGAATTATTCAAAATATCACGTTAACTACAAATGACTGGTGAGAATATTCTCCATATTATAAATTATTTTTTTTAATTCCCAATAACTTACTTTTCAAATGCATCATACGATGTGAATGTAACATTTGATTTATAGCATAATCCACAACGTCTACTTAAAAACACGCCATCCATCGGAAATTGTTTCCTTTCTAAATCGATTTTTGAAAATTTACGAAAACTTTTCAATGATTTATTCATATGTACTGTACAAGGTAAATATAGTCGACCCCAATCAAAACATTCATGTGCTAGAAGAACAGCATGATTTTTGAATACACCTTGACATCGCCAGCATACAGGTGCTACATTATTTGTTGTGTGTTCATTACATAGATGATATTCTAAATTTGGCCAATTTTCAAATGTAACTCGACATAATGGACAATTCAAATAGGTTTCATAATTGGGTCCTTCATAATTTATGATGGAATTTGATGTATGATTATTGTCGGTTACATTACTGTCTAATGGGATAGGATTTTGTTTTTGAAGCTGAAAGGTAGATAACAAAGAAAAAATTGGAATAATTGTAATGTAGCTTTTATTTACTTGAACAGTAACTCAATCGTTAAAGTATTCAAAAGTTTCAACTACTTTTGTTTGAATAGCTGGGTAGTATTTCCAGTGCTGACACGTAAGGTAGCTGGAAATCCAGTCCATAAAACTGTACATGATAAATGAATACCATGAAAAAAAAACAAGATTTAGTGAATGTGATATATTGACATCACTCACCAAATAAGGATTTCCAATAAAAACACCTAACTTAGGAATGACCCAGCAAATTCATGAAATGTTTTATTTTGTGAAGATAATGTATTTGAGAAAACAGATACTTTCAAATGCGTTAAGCTTTACAGTGATGGTGGCTGTAAAGACCATAAGAATAGTCGACGAGCAGAAAGATCATATACTTCCTGTGTTAATGAAAACATCAAACGTGTGTGAATTCTTGTGATTTTGCATTGGCAACCTACTATCCGGATGAGTGCTGATGAATCGAAATTTAGGAAATCATTTATGTACATGATTCTAGCAAAACATTTGAGTTTGGGGAAATTATGTAACAATGAGGTAGCTGAAGAATGTGGCTTCTAAGGACTTCCATAGATTTTTAAACAAAGAAAAAGAGTATTACTAACCAGTGGGACTCATGATGTGGGCTTCGTCTTGTTTCGAGACTCGTCAGTCGGGTGTAAACCTGATTGCTTTCGAGCGTTAGTGTTCAAACTGAGACTCGAATACAGCACCTTTATTTTCAAACGTTAAGAATTTATCTATGTGCGTCCTGGATTCTACTACTGGACACTGTTTGACTTTAATAAAAATCTTCCGACTCAATAGCTGAGAACGCATATATACAAATAGAGACTTATCAATAGCTCTTAACAGCAACAACAGGAAAGTAAAAGCCCTTGGAAATATTGAAGTAATGAAACAACTACATTGTCACAAACAGGGAGCATCTTCAATGGGATATAATTATTATGCATCCTCAGTAACAACTTGCTCCAACGTACAGAGTTGGCTAGTATGGGATTTGACTGGAAGAAGATTAGGGGCAGCTAAATCGGAATGTTATAGCAATCCATGTAACCACTGAATCTTGAAGTGAATCATGTTGGAAAATATAGACTGCCTGTCTGTGACGCACAGCATATTCACAATCCACGGTTGGAGATACCGGATGATATGATGTAACACCGGTTGTAATACCCTCGTTGCACTCACGTTTTAACTTGAGTTTAGTATCAAACTATGCTTTACTTTTTTTAATCTCACTTGTTCTATTCGAACAATATTTATTATGCTTAGGTTCATCCTGCACAATTTCCAACTTTTGCCGGAAATTTTTGTTTATTCAACCCACTTACCACGTACAGGTTAATGATATTAGCCTCGAGCCAAACTTTAACTGGAAAGGTTAATGATATCAACCGGTTTCCCAAGTCGACGTAATTAGAGTGGAGTTCAAACCTGCTACTTCATGGCGGTAAGTCGAATGTCTCTACTAATTCACTGCTCCACATCGCCCAGAGGATATTTGTGAAAATGAATTTAACAAGTTTTTTTTCGATGCGTTTTAGTAATCCATTGCAATAATATGTAAATAGCAGCTCGTATAATATTTGTGAAAATATAATTACGGTTATTTATAAGCATGGTTACATAATGATTAACACAAAACTACATTATTCACACGTACTGTGCTTATTCTGACTAACGTTACGAATGAGAAAATTTTCATCACAAAACTGCTTGTTTTAAAAGTGCACTAACAACTACTACCTACATGCTAGATTTTTTCTAGAAGTGGGGGAGTTATTGACATTTCCGGGCTGCCAATGTCACGAGAGGAAGTTTCTTCTTGATGGAACAGAAAAAGAATCTGAGTTGGTTGTGGTTTTACTAAAATGGAAATCTGACTGCACAGAGCACGGAGAAGCTGCTTTACACCACCCCCTTTTGTGGGCAATTTTCGATACACGAGCTCCGTATTTTTCAAACTGTACAACTGGTATAGGCAATCCGTAGGACATAGTGAAAAGTACTATTTTTAGGACTGACATGTTTTATCTACTCCACTTATGAAAAAACAGCATTGCTAGAGATGCTTTTTATCCACAGAAAACACCTGACTATTACCACACCCAAGTACAATCGGCAGTAAGAACTTGTCGTCGGGCCCTCATTTGTTTACTTTTAATCTTACCACTCCTTAATCGACCTGTATGACAGGAAAAAACTGCAGAAGCAAGTATTTCAAACAATCTAATTTAATTGGTTTGTCATGATGAGAAGCAAGCCCAACTACATCGACAAAATGGCTACAATTGAGTATACACGGTAAGGAAGTCTTGTTACTTGTCACAAGACAGATGGTGCTTATAGTCTGATGTATAAACTTATCCATGTGTTTAACTAAACATAAATAAATTGAACAAATAATGAACATACTATATATATTCACGAAAACTTACCGTTTCATGAAAATTTGATTCATTATTCAAATTTGAGCAATTAGATGTTGGCGCATTTGTAGCCATGGGCAAACATTCGTTTACATAGATTGCTTCTAAAATGGAATTTATCATTAATAATGATAGAAACGCTTGACAAACCTGAACAATTATGACCTGTTAGGCTAGTAGTATTGTGTTGTATTGTTAGTGTAGGAAAATCATTCCCTTCATCGACTACTGATTCAGGAGTTGCTTCAAACGATAGCTGCAGACTGTCTACATTGATATTTAAGTCATATAATTCTGAAGATTTTACATTCGCATACACTGAAGAGCTGCTAGTTAAGCTAACATTAGAAGTAGTAGCGGTAATAATAGTAGTAGTGGTATTATCCACATTTCCACTACAACAAAGATAGTTGTCATTGCTGATAATGCTACCCTGGTACACATCGCTTCTTTCATTATTCTCTTGCAGTTGTGATAAATTTTTTTTCATAAACGCTATTAAATTATCTCGTTCACTCGGTTGAATACTTTTTAAATTGTCAAAAAGTACCATTAATTGACTTCTTATAGTTGCCGACTCCATGTTTCATTTTCTTGTCTAAGAAATTGAAAATGATTTACTTTCTTAGACCAGTGGATCTGAAATGCAAATGTTAATAGATAATCAGGTAAGGTATGATTCCCTCACGTAATTTAAAAGCTACTCCATGACAAATTTTAGTAAAACCTAAAATACCTTCCCAAAGCAACTGTGATGTTTTTACTTGTCAAGTACAGTGTGGTCTCAGTTGTTTTAACGTTGAAAAACTACTGTTAGTGTCGTAAGAGCAATAGTTTTTGTGAGTGAAGAAAAAGAATTTCCGGTTGGTTAGCACTGAGTTGATTAAACAGTCCACTCGTGTACCAATTTATATTTTTGACGTTTAGTTATTGTTTCAGGGCTTTTAAAATGATTTTTTTATGTTCGCATTAGAGAATGAAATCAAATAGCCCGAACTAAACATCGCTGTGATGGACCCACATACCTTCGCTCCGACCAAAGATGTAGTGCAAAGTGGAAAAAGAAACAAATGGAACAATAATGTGAACTCTGAACTCACATTGGTTGAATTTAAGTGGTTGCAAGTAACAATCATTGCCGTGTGGAAGGTATTTCCACGTTCGGGGTCATGATTGAACTTTGGGATAATGCTGGCAACTGCATCACTGCATCTCTATAAGAACCCTTCCAGGGTGTGCGCGATGGAGAAATGGTAACAGCCCTTATACATCTAACAGCACTCAAGATCATTGTATTCATAATCTCCTTCTTCAATTCTCATTATTCCTCACACATCGACTTTCAGCAATAAACTTTCTCTTTCGGCTTCCTCCTCAAGTGTCACTATGGTCAATGATTCTAGTGCACGAAATACTGTCCCAGGTTTACTGAAACCTCACCACAAACTACACATTGGAGCCTTCAATGTACGCACCCTATGTCAAATCAGCCAGCATGCCTCCTTGGCTAAAACTCTAGAATCTCGTACTATTGATGTATGCTGTGTCTCCGAAACACACATACAGGATACTAGTGTGGTCATTCACTTGACCTCAGCTCGCCAAAATGGAGAGCCGACGAGATACACTCTACGTGTATCCGGCGACCCGATGGCTAGTTTCCGTGGACTGGCAGGTGTAGACATAGCACTAAGTATGAGGGCAGGACAAGCACTATTAGAGTGGATCTTTGTTAACAGTCGCCTATGTGCTGTTCGACTAAATGGCTCTGTAAGAACTCGGAAGGATAGGGACACACGTCGTCGCCCTTTCGTCCTTTTCTGCCTACGCACCCATTGACTGTAGCCCGGATGGAAAGATGAATCTTACAAAAAGCTCTCTAAACTTCTTCAAAAAGCTAAACGCTCAGACATAGTACTCGTAGCAGATGACTTTAACGCCCAAGTAGATAGCTTAAACCAAACAGAAAGACATTTAGGTGGGTATTTTAGTGTTCCGGTTTAGAGAACAGATAATAGTGATCGTCTGTTGCAACTATGCTCAGACAATCGTTTACTTTTAGCAAACACTAATTTTAAGCATAAGGAGAGGCATCCCACTAACATGGCGACCACCTGCACCTAACTTACAATGGACTGAAGTAGACCATATTGCCATCAGTCATCGTTGGAGAGCCTCAAAAGAAGACTGTCGCTCGTTCTGGAATACACGTTTAGACTCTGACCATGCCTTAATACGAGCACACATTTACTTGCGCCTCACTGGATGCAAAAAAACTACACTAAGAAGACCCATTAGAATTGAACTGAGGGAAGAGAAAGCTAAAACTAAGTTCCAGGAACAACTGAGTTCACATCTAGGCAATTCATAAAACGAGGCTGAACCAGATGTTGCTTGGAAAGATATACGAACAGATGCAGAAACAGCAGTAACACCTATTAGCAATTTAAACCAAAAGGTTACAGAAAACCAATGGATTTCTTCCAAGTCTATTGCACTGATGGATTCTCGTAAACCTATCCCATCAGGTTCTAAACGCGATGAAGGGCGAAAGCAAATCCGTTCTAGGCTAACCAAAAGTCTACGGAACGATCAGCAGTGGTGGGAAACGAAAGAAAAAGAAATGGAAAAGGCAGCGGCTATAGGCAACACTAGACAACTCTTTAGACTAATGAAAGAAACCGGAATAAAGAAGTCAATTGTAAGCGAGACAATCTCGGGAAAAGACGAGACGCTTATCTGCTTTCAGCCCAGACGTTTAGAACGATGGGCGGAACACTTTAGAGAACAGTTTAGCTGGCCTTCAGCTATACTACAGTTACCCACCATTCCCAAACAGTCTGGATGGAACATTGAAGTAGGTCCCTCGACTCTAGTTGAAGTTTTAAAGGCTATAGCTAATCTCAAACGAGGAAAAGCATCTGGGTTAGATAGATTGGTTCCAGATGTCCTTAAATATGTTCGTCCAATTTCAGCGATTAAGTTGACTAATCATGTAGGCGAGACTATAATTTATGGACGACCTTTGAACGAATCGCAAGTGACCTTGAGAAATATAAGCTAATCATGATAAAGTCGCGAAAACTCTCTCAGCACCGACCACATAGCTTCAATACTGTTTTGTGTACTCCGAATATGTAAATTTGTCATTTTCATTACGCATATATTCCTACAATACTCATACCACTGAACAGCCGGAGCTTCAACAACATCTGCGATTAATGGAGTTAATGTTACCAGTACTTTTATTAAACAGTTTGTGGCAATTATTATAATTTGCCTTAGTCTCAATCTACATTGAGCGAAAAAAGTTCTTATCCTAGAAGACGTCTTCTCCAACATATATTACGCCGAAGGACATCATGGTAGTCTACCTAAAGCCTACAAGTCATTTGATTACTGCAATTACAAATAAAGGAACTTATTAGTATTACCGTTTATTATAGACGCTTAACTGTCACCAGGCACTGAAATTGGCACCGGGACCTTGAAGTCCCTAATAAGCTTCTGTTTGTCTCGTCCATAAATTATTGTCTCGCCGAAAGGTCTGTTGAGCAATAAAGTGTTTAGTGAAGCTAGAAATTTCTACCCTCCAACTGTTATTCTAGATCGCAACCATCAGTTCCATAAGTTCATAAATGAGAGGGTAGTAAAGCATTGCAGTATGACTAATGTGTCAACTCGTAATGGCAAACTTAACTCTAATTTGTAGGCCTAACGGATTTCAGTTAACTACTAAAACTCTTAATGGTAACAACCACAACTCATGACAGCAGTCTAAGAACTTGACCTTTTTCTCTTATAACAAAGAATAACTCGACATGTGGGGGTCAATTACTGGAATCAAATTTATTGTTCCACTGTTATTTCGTTTTTTATTGCTGGTTGATCTATAAGTCAGGAGTTTTTTCTAAGTAGCATACAAGCCACCTCAGTCCACTACTTCTACTCCAACAGCAAACCTACCGGCAGTAACACAAACCATCATTCGACGCGCTCTCATAATTACTGTTGTCCAATATCCAAAATTCCGTTTCACCTTCGGAAAAATAAGGAGGAAGAAAACCCTGTGTTAATCTTGGAAATGGAAGTTTTTCACCGTATTTAACTTTTTTGAAGTATTCAATATGTGGGGCCTAAATCATGTATTGTGGTAATCAATTCCATTTGTCAATAGTGAGTGGACAAGTAATTTTTCTGAGCTTGTAGGCTTTTTTGGAGTGTCACCTTAAGGCTGTCAAGATCACATGTTTACTTCCATCTCTCTGGACCAATTGGGTATGCTGGAAAGGATTGATACTTTTGTGATTCCCTTTTGTTGGTTAAATCGGGATATATTTTCGATACCATGGGAATACGTACCAAAAACACGGAAACGAGTGAATTAACCTGTATTACTACTTAGGTATTGTAGGGTCGCAATGACTGTGGATACAGCTACCAAAGATATTAGACTGCAATGCTGAGACCTTGGTTTTAGCTCGCAACAAGCCTGTAATGCGACTGAGTCGGCTACGTTTCTGAAAGTTTTAGAAGCTTGTTCCTTCTACTTCTCGTTTTCTCATCAGTCTTACTAAGAGTGCTAATTTGAGTATGCGTGTTACCTTAATAATTTATTTGGCAACTCAGTTTGGTGTTTGAGTCGAATAATCTGTGTTAGAAACATTATATTGAGGTTCATTATCTAGTGTCGTCTTCAGCTTTTTTATAAGCCTGATACCAGACACGAGAATTTTTAACTTTTAATTGGCTCTGCATTAAGACCTTAAATAGTCGTCCTTGTAGTTTTCAGCGTGAGTAGTCTGGAAGACGCTATTACTGTACATGTTACCCAACAGACTAAAGGGTCGAATATGAGACAGGCTATGAAGAAATTGGATAGGATTTAAGTTTAGAAAGGGAGAAATAATAAGTGAACATAGGTTACACAACAACGAGACTTGGAAGACAGTGAAACTTGCCACGTTACCTTTCGTGGTTTTGTGGTGGTATTGGTCCTAACTACAATCATCAAGGCTGAACATGAGATAACTGGGAAAATAGACCTGTAGTGAGTATTCCAAATACGGCTCACCAGTTTGTAGTGGATGTCGAGTCGAGGACGGACTATGATCACCACTACTATTCGATTACGCGCCCACAAACGACTTGGTTCCTTTGATAGAATCAGAAAGCTTTATTAATCCAGATCAAGTATATTTATTGGCGATCTCGTGGTATCGAAATAATACCGAGACGTGCCAAAGGGTACAGGCAAAATGGGCAGTGCGTGAGCAAGTTCGAAACAAACAAGGCGGATCGCGAAACAAAAAGTGAAACCGATACAGTTAAACAAATACAGTAAAACAATCTCTGGTACAATTGGTTACAATAATAATAATTGTTTGCGTTATTCCAATAGTGTTCTTATCGAGACTGGCCGGTCACTACAGACCTTCAATACGCAACACTAAGAGAAGGTCAACTATGGCGAATGAGGGACTTCCTATTCAATCAATTGAATGACATGGCTCAGACTAGCAGACGTGGTCATTCTTGTGTAACTTATCTCTTTAATTCATATTTAATATATTGTTCTGTCTCCAGACTGCATCTGTTCTCCACCATATATTGGCGATGATTACAATAGTCAGTGTAGACAAAGATGCGATTTTATAGATTAGGTAGTCATATCATGACAAATCTACAATTTTAGGATTAGGTCTTTTATTAGAGCACTAATAATAACGAAGTAGACCATATTTCTACAGTTCTACTAAAATCTATACTTGGATCCAGTAACAGCCGACGGATGGTTTTTTGTTTGTCTTCTACATTCTTTTTTCTTTCTGACGTTTGTGATATTTCTCCACCGTCCTAAACCTCTTTTTATACCAGAATCCAGTTCTAAATAATCCCAGAAGTTTAGAGTGAAAATATACGAAGATTTGTTTGAACAGCTGTTCATGCTTTAGTGTATGCGATCTGTGGTGGACCAAAATGTATGATAACCAAAAATTAGCAACAAAAATATTATGTCTATAGTTTATGTAACAATTAACAGTTAATAAGTTAATTACACACACAAATAACAAAATAAGGGACGTTACTTAAGTCTTCAGGCTATTGCGTGTTCGGCTGGGTTTGGTCCAAATAATCCACAATTATAAAAAATTAATCCCAATATGGACGATATAGATCCAGTAGGTTTACCAAGCGTAGAATTCAATAAGAATGTCGCAGTTGTCTATAAACGTAGATGGTATGCAATTAATTCATTAATTCATTCAACATATTAGCAGACATGGCAGAACGATGCAGATGTGAATTAGAGTGTATTTATTGAGAAGCAGTAACAGTGTCACGATATGTTGTACTCAAAAACGGAAGGAAGTCGAGTTACAAGCGTTCAAAGTAATACACTTAAACAACAAGTACAATTGTTTAATGCTTAATGTACAGAATATGAAAATACATGCGAAAACTATGAAAAATTATTTACAAAATAGGTTTTGAGGTTCTATCTCCACATAGCTCCCCCCAGAGTGTCCGGAGGTAACACTGATTACAATATGAACAACAAAAATTGAGAAATATTGTGTATAAATGTACATAAAATAGTATTTACTGTAATAACGGAAAAAAAGGTGGAGATAGGAATAAATGACACGTTAATAATATACGCTATGCTACGCAATTGAAACTGAAGAACAAACATTACAAAGTTTCGGTTTGCTAATAATAATAATAAAATGTGCAAAACTGTTAATAGAGTCATAAAATAAAAATTAAAAAAATGGATGAATTTAATAAATAGTTAGTTAGCATTCACTCGTTTATTACTATGACAATTTTTCTTATTAAAAAAAAATTGGCAAAACCAGTGATAACAAATAAATGTAGTTATTAAATGTACATGTGGGGAAAATAAATATCTTTTATTAGAAGATTGCGTAACTTCACAAAGTAATGCATACAACTGATTGATTGTGTTAGTCCATAAAATGTACATAACGTTTGGGTTTTTTAATAAGTCTCCCAGATCGTGTTAAACAAGAGGGTGTAGTGCTGAGTTTTTCCTCTTCCTCTTGTTTCTTCGCAATTGATGGGAGTGATTGTTTGTTCGCCGTATTGTCATCAGTGGCTTGAGGGGGTTCGTAGAAAGCTGGTTTTATTCGGTCTATGGAAATTGTTTCATTGTTCCCGTTTTTGTTGATAATGAAATATTTGCAAGTGCGTTTTATTACTTTATACGGACCTTCATATGGTGGTGTCAGTGGCTTTTTCACCGCGTCTACTCGAACAAAAACAAATTTGCACGTTTCTAAATGTTTGTCGAGATGGACTGGATTGTTGTGTTCTCGCGGTGGTATTGCTCTAATGTTCTGCATCACGTGTAATAGGCAACTTGCGAAATGAGTAGCATCTTCTTGCGTTGTAGGTTCACAGTTGACTAGTTGGCCCGGTAACGTTAGAGTTGTACCATAGACTAATTCGGCGGGTGTACAACCTATGTCTTCCTTCACCGTGGCACGAATCCCAAGGAGAACAAACGGCAAGGCATCACTCCATTTTGTTGAATCAGTTTGAGCCATGAGTGAGCTTTTTAATTGCCGGTGAAATCTTTCAATCATGCCGTTTGCTGCTGGGTGGTAAGCTGTGGTTCTGATGTGTTTTACGCCCAGAAGTCTTGTGAATTCCTGAAACAGGATAGACTGGAACTGGGGACCACGATCAGTTGTGATGGTTGTCGGTACACCGTAGTGCGATATCCATCGGTCTAGAAAAACGGATGCTACAGTCTCAGCTGATGTGTCTTTGATGGGGCATGCAATGGCCCATCGAGTGAATCTGTCTATTGCCGTGAGGATGTGAGTAAAAGAATTTGACGAAGGTAGAGGTCCTACTAAATCTAAATGGATATGCTGAAAACGTCTATCAGGAATAGGAAATTCTCCGATTGGGCTAATAGTATGCTTTTGGATCTTACTACGTTGACACTGAAGGCAACCACGTGTCCATCGTTTAATATCTGAATTGATTTTCGGCCAAACAAAACGTTCAGTTATCAGCTTTGTAGTAGCTCGGATGCCCGGATGTGATAAACCATGCAAGTGTTGGAATAACTTTTGGCGACATGCATGTGGAACAAAGGGACGATTGTTACCTGTTGATGTGTCACAGATGATGGATGCGTCGGAGAATGGGATGGGTACAGGTTGGAGATTCAGGCGAGACTTTTCTTTGCAGGTTTTTAGCTCTGCATCGTCTGCTTGAAGTTTTGCGATTATTTCTAGGTTGACGTCATGGTTGGATGCAACTACATTGATGTCTTTTCTCGATAACGCATCTGCTACAATGTTGGAGTGACCTTTGATAAACTGAATGTCTGTGGTGAATTGTGAGATGTAATCAAGCTGTCTTGCTTCGCGTGGTGAATGTCTGTCATACGACATACTAAAGGAGTAGCACAGGGGTTTGTGATCCGTCATGATGGTAAAATCCCGGCCCTGTAGCAAAAAATTGAAGTGTTTAACGGCTAAATACATGGCTAAGAGTTCACGACCGAATGTACTATAACGCTCTTGTACAGGTGATAACCTTTTAGAGAAGAAAGCAATGGGTGTAATCGTATTGTTTACTCGTTGTTGTAATACTGCTCCTACGGCTTTTTGTGATGCGTCCGTACAGAGGATCAGATGAGTTTTGGGGTCAGTATTTAGATGTTGTAGCATGGTGGCGTCAGCAATCAAAGATTTGGCTTTTTCAAATGCCGTTTTGGCATCGGAAGGTAACTTGAATGGTTGATTCTTTTCCTTTTTGCTACCTGATTTATCGTTTTTTAGTAAGTCAGTTAACGGTTGTAGAACGTTGGCACAGTTAGGTAAAAATCGACGGTAAAAATTGAATGCACCCAGGAAGCGACGTAATGACTTAACCGAAGTGGGTTCAGGATAGTTGATGACGGCTTCAACTCTCTTTGGTAGAGGTTTAATACCTTGTGCATCAATATAGTGTCCTAAGAATTCTAAGGCAGACGTACCGAATATGCACTTAGTAGGGTTGATAACTACGCCATATTTCTTGAATCGTTCAAAGAGAATCTGCAGATGATGGACATGCTCTTCAAGTGAGGAGCTGGCAATTAGGACGTCATCGATGTAAACAAATACGAAATCTAAACCTCGCGTGACTTCGTCCATAAATCGTTGGAATGTTTGCGCAGCATTCTTAAGCCCAAATGGCATCCTCAAGAATTCAAACAACCCAAAAGGTGTGATTACAGCTGTTTTTTCAATATCCTCAGGTGCCACTGGGATCTGATGATAAGCTCTAACTAAGTCTAGTTTTGAAAAGATCAGTTTACCGTGCAGGTTTAGTGAAAAATCATGTAGATGAGGAATAGGGTATCTGTCTGGAACTGTCTGATTATTCAGACGCCTATAATCTCCACAAGGGCGCCAATCTTGATCTTTTTTGGGAACCATGTGCAGTGGCGAGGCCCAAGGGCTATTAGACTGTCGGATTATCCCTAGTTGCATCATATGTTCAAATTCTCTTTTAGCGGACTGCAACTTATTGGGTGGTAGTCTCCTCGCCTTGGCGCAGATAGGTGGACCAGTTGTAGTGATAGTATGTTGAACATGGTGTGTGGAGTTTTCAGTTTGATAATCGGCTTTTGTTATACATTCACACTTCGATAGAAGATCGGCAAAAGTTTGACTATCAGGTCTAAGCAATCGGACACCATAAGTTTCATAATTGCAGGTGATTGTTCCGTTGACCTGTAGACTTGTATTCACGTCGATAAGTTTCTTTTTTCTCATGTCGACAAGGAGATTGTAGTTACTAAGAAAATCGGCTCCAAGGATGGGTTGTTTAACTTCAGCGACGATGAAAACCCATGTAAAACGTCTACGGAGACCGACGTCTAAGATGAGTGATTGCTCGCTATACGTTTTAATAATAGAATTGTTTGCTGCCACTAATGATAATTTAGCGTGTTGGGAGTGCCGTCGTCGGGATAGATGAAGTGGGAGTATGCTTATTTCGGCTCCAGTATCGATTAGAAAATCCGAGCCCGAAATACGATCCCTGACATGAAATAGACGGCTTGAGTTGTGGCCAGAGTCAGGCGCCGGCATTACTGCCTGGCCGGACCGTTTCCCTGGTTATCAGTGCTGGGTAAGGGGAATGCACACGGGCGTGTACAACGCCGTGCTTTTGTGCCGAATTTAGTATGATACCAACAAATTTCGGATGGTCGTTTAGGTGAACGAGATCGTGGTCTAGAACGTGATCTCTGTCTAAAAAGGGGTCTTATTTGTCTGGCCTGAACCGTTGCTACAGTGGTTTGAAGGGACTCAAGTTGATTCGTCAATTGAGATAATTGTCTTTGAATAGAGTTTAAGTAACTGACATCAGCTGCTCCATACGGCTGCATCGTATTTATATAGTGATTATCATGACAGACTTCCATTACCTTATCCGCCATATCACTAAGCTTAGGTGGAGAATACATTAGGTTAAAAATCAGCTAGAGTATCGTGTAATGAGCGAATGAACAATATAACAATGGTATAAATGCGAGATAATAAAATACTGGGCTCACCAAATAATTGTGGAGGACCAAAATGTATGATAACCAAAAATTAGCAACAAAAATATTATGTCTATAGTTTATGTAACAATTAACAGTTAATAAGTTAATTACACACACAAATAACAAAATAAGGGACGTTACTTAAGTCTTCAGGCTATTGCGTGTTCGGCTGGGTTTGGTCCAAATAATCCACAATTATAAAAAATTAATCCCAATATGGACGATATAGATCCAGTAGGTTTACCAAGCGTAGAATTCAATAAGAATGTCGCAGTTGTCTATAAACGTAGATGGTATGCAATTAATATTTCATTCAACATATTAGCAGACATGGCAGAACGATGCAGATGTGAATTAGAGTGTATTTATTGAGAAGCAGTAACAGTGTCACGATATGTTGTACTCAAAAACGGAAGGAAGTCGAGTTACAAGCGTTCAAAGTAATACACTTAAACAACAAGTACAATTGTTTAATGCTTAATGTACAGAATATGAAAATACATGCGAAAACTATGAAAAATTATTTACAAAATAGGTTTTGAGGTTCTATCTCCACAGATCCATGCTGACTATTTATCATTGGGGATGTTCAGTACAACGTACTCAAATGTGATCTGCTTTGGATGCTTGGTTGTGGACCAGTAAAAGGGGTTCGTTTTGCAAAACCAGTAAGGTCAGAATCAAAGTCAAAATCGTTCAAATCGATTTATTTGACACTATACACATACATTGCGTTCAAATTAGTCATAAAACTGAGCACCAATTAGCTGATATAAATCAATTAACACATTTGACGGTTCAGTATTTTGTTAGATTTTGATTTCCAAGATGATTAAACAGACACGATTAAATGTGTGTGTATTAAACATCAAATTCCCTCTTTTTACAGTAAATTATACAAAACTTGGGATTCATTACCGAGATTTATCCTAAACTCTCTGAGCTTGTTTGGATCCGGAAAGTAGGTTCTCATCAACTTTTTGTATTGTTTGTTCGATTGTTAAGTGCTACTTTGGCTTAGCTTTCAGCTTGGCTACAACCAGCTGGCAGTGTGAAACAATACCAGCTCCTACATCTTTTTTCTCAGGTCTTCTGAAGACCTTCTACATCGTGGTATTTAGAAAAAAACTGATCTGTTTTCTAAGTAAATTAAAGAAATTAACAGTGCTTCGTGATAATTAAGAGTATTTGAATTATTATGCTAACTAGGTGTACCCGAAATAGCATAATTTAGACCAAGAAGAACGAAGCGAGTACAAATGAACGTTTTGTATTTAGAATTTGAAATCAGTCAGATACCAAGGACCAAAGAATCATTAGTTTGTCGTTGGCGTCGAGTTGCAATTGACTATAATTACCACTACAGGAAGATTACGTTCTGGTAAGAAGCCTTGACCAGTGGAGTTAGACCGTGTCGACTGTGAGAGAATTATCAACCGCAGACTATGGAAGCTGGTCTTGAGATATCATGGATTGATTGAATTTAGACATCAGCTGGAGTTGATATCTGCTCAGTTGTATATAGAGGTTGGGCATTTGCGTGAGACAGAAGGACCTCGGTTCGAATCAGGCATTAGGGATCGTTGATGCGCACTCATGAGGAGCCTCACACTAGAACCGAATGGCCATCCAATTCCTTCAGATTTTAGATGGAAGTCTAACACTGGTCGGTTCATGGTTTCAACGAAAGGATAAATTTCTCAATCTGAGAACGATTTATACAAAATATCCTTATCTCTGAAAATCGATTTATATTTGTGAGCAAGTTCTAACATGTATGGACTTCTGCCATCCGATATCATTATCAGAACCGAAATATCCATATATAGAACCAACGTTACATATTTAAACATGCGAAACAATAACAACATACTAAGGAAAAAGTGTACAAAATATGGATTCCTTTCATTGATCAATTAACTTTGTCAACACTGATAATTGCATAATTAGATGTCAGTTTTGTGAACAAATTGTCCATGTCAGTATTGTAATAGAAAACATTTTGGAATCCGTTTATGTTACCATCCTGATATAGTGTTCAAGATCACATGACCTTTTTCATAAATAGTTTATCCACCTCTAATCTAAATAATGGGTGACTACTTACCATAGATGTATTTCAGAAATCTATAGATAGGTGAAAACCTATATTCGTCTTAAATTCAGTCATTGGATGGCGTTTAAATATTGATATTCATAGAAATTCACATCGATTGTTCTCAAAAACTTCTATGTGGACAATTTGACAGTTTTTTTTTTGATCCATCAATAATAAACTAAAACATTCTTTAAAAAAATTAAAGGTTTGAATTTTTCTTGTCATAAAACTATGTCAAAATGGTTTACACACATAGTTCATTGACTGATATTTGTATATATATATATATATATATATATATGTGTATTCTGGTATTCATGTATGTATATCTCTGTGTGTGTTAGTGTATACATATGTAAATGTTTCACACTCACTCACTCATTTCATCTCTCTCTTTATGTAACAAAAATGATATGGTGATTATGAATGTGCATAAATACTTGAAACATTGAACACTGTCATAATCATGATCATCACCACCGGTGAAATGGTTTAAATAAAAATGAAATTTCTTTTTCTTTTCTTTTTTTTTTATCATCATCAATCTTGAAAAAACTTCATACCATGTGAATATAAAACTTGAAAATCATTTTAGGTTAGAAATTAATAATGTAAAATAATAGTTGTTTTAGCTAAATAGATAGTTAATTTTATTCAATTGTATTAATGCCAATAAGAAAAAACTAAATTAAGAAATTATCAAATAGAACATAATATCAAAAGTGGGTTTTGTGGAGATTTTAGTAATTTCATATTGTTGGAGCCATGAGTTAATTGAAGCTATATCATTATAGAAAACCTTGAAGCACTGAACGGCCATTTCGCCCCATTGTGGGATACCTCAGCAGTGCGCAGCCACGATCCCCCCTAGTAAGACTCGAACCAAGGACCTATCAGTCTCGCACGCGAGCGTCTAACCACTAGACCACTTAGCCGGCTGGCATCCAACGTTGTTAATGTTTAACTTCAACCAACCCACGAAATTGAGCGACCATTCACCAATGTCTTCAGTGAGTTGATATCTCCCAACAGACTTGGTTTAACTCCACTGGTTACTGCTACTCACTAGAACTACAAGAAATGTCTCTGAAAGTCAATTACTAGTGAGCATATGATTATTATGGTGGTCTAGCTTCAATCGACTAATGATTTCAACTATAAAATTACTGGAATCTCCAAAAAAAACTTTTCTGATAGAAATAAATACACTATTTCAGCAGTTATCAAAGATTTTGTAAATGACGAATGATTAGAAATTTATCTAGCATATAAATAAACTAATATATTTGTAATATCCCAATAAGTAGAAAAATTAGATTTTCTGACGTTTCGTGACTCAGTGTAAGCAACTTCTTCGGAGAATAAATAACACAAATTAACATTAATCCAAGTTTAAATAGTACAACGGAACAATCCAAGAATAATTAGGTGATCAATCAAAAACAGGTCTGAATAAATCAATATCACGTCATTTCATTGTGGTCAAGGTGATTCATAAGTGACATGTATGTATGCATTGTTAATGATGAAAAATGTGTGACCTTTGTAATGACAAAGGATAGAGTTTAATTTATAATGCAACGGTGTGAAATTGTAAATAATATCAGACTAGGTGACTAGGATAGATAGTCCAAGTAGGGTGTATGATAAGGTCTTCCTTTCTATTGAAAGCTGTGGGATTAAGCATTATATGGAAAGCTTCAGCTACTCTACTTTCTTTGTAATTGGAAAAACTTTTCTGTAGTATTTTTATATTTTTGAAATCAATTTGATGATTGTTGAAAATGGTGTGGACTGCTATTGACGATTTAATTTGAAGTCGATCTAGTTCTACAGGATTATTAGGAGGTTTCTTTGTGTACCTAATATGTTCTTTGACGCTAGTCAAGATTTCGCGAGATGACTCTCCAATATAGAAGGCATCACATAACATCTAACATAGTATCCAAATTCCAATACTAATAATATGATTACCACATCTGAATTTTTATTCATTTTTTATGTGTTTTGGATGATGGATATAAATTATGAATAAATTCAATTGGTTTGCTTTTTATTAGTGTATTTAGCATTACCATTTGGGGAAATGAAAAAAAGTAAATCATTGAACAATAATATTTTTAGGAACTATCCACAAATATAATTATCTTAATAAAATACATATATCTAAAAGTTACACGAAATTTAACTCACTACAATAAACCCAGTTAACATTATTGAGTATCGTACTGTGGTGTGTGCTACTGATGTCGATAGATATAAGTAGTATGTATCATCAATTGAGAGTAAAGTACCTGATGACAGCAGGTTAAGAAGATTGAAGAGAATAAGAACCGGAACGGAGTGTGATTGGTACGGAAAAGAAGAATCAGTCAAGTCTCAAACAATTAGATTGACATTTTACAGAAAGAACAATCAAGTTTAGTACAATGGATTAACATTTTGCAAATGAAGAATTTACTATATGGTTCTCAAGTTTTCCTAAGATGTTCTGTAGTTTTATATTCAAAAACATTCAATTAACCCCATTTGTATTCTCGTTCACTACAGTATCATATATGGTGAAACCGGTTTCACTATAAGTTAAGTACTATATAGTCTTCGATTAATTTTCATAGAAATCTGAAAAAAAACACTTCACTATCAATAGAATGATAAAACATGTTTATCATCTAAATTTATCAGAAACTTTTTACTTCGTATTATTAATTCCCTCGAGGAAATACGATATCACATAACTATCAGTTATTTAAAACATTTCCTCGTTTTCTATTATTCCATATTGAATATTGACTCAAAAATCTATTTTTTTTAAAATGTGCCTTTGAATCATAATCAATAATTTTATTCTCCATTCCCCCCCCATATTTTTTTTGTTTTTACTGGATGTTATATCTACTAAAGTTTTAAGTATGATAGTTTATTTTTTTTTTAAACTAGCCAATCAGAATGTGTATTTATGACAGTTGGGAAATATCGATCGAAAATTTAAATTATTATAACTATATATCAAAAAATCGATTAAGTAATAATCAATAATCATATTATGTAAATTTCAATGAAACTGACAACTTGACCATATATGTACTATAAGATATATAGATAATATTTATGTATAGATTTACTTGGTATTGTTTTGGTTGAATGTTCCCATTGATGTTTAGGACTGTAATTGGTCAGTCTCTAATTGGTATATGTGCATACTGTGCGTACTGCCTCAATATAGCCTTTATTCACAAGCATACATCTTTGCTTATAATGCCAATAAGAGTCTGATCAAATGCAATCTTAAATATCAATGGGAAAATTCAACCAAACTATACCAAGTGAATTTAAACTTCACCCCATGGCACAAGCAAGTGACTATCACGACTCAGTAGCCAATTGGATAACGTGATAGCTTTAGAAGCGAAAGGTACTGGGTTTGAGTCTCAGAGTAAACATCAACTCTGAGATTCAGGTACATCCAGCTGACAAGTCTCAAATAGGACGAAACGCGCGTCAAGCTGGATTCCACTGTTAGCCACTATCCATCTTTGCTCATAATATCATTTATTTTGAGAGATGAAATTCATCAGACTCTTAAATTTCAATAGAGTTATATAACGTACTTGGTTATATTATTGAATAGGTTGAATACATAATTTCAATCGACAAAAGCTGTTGATCAATAAAGAACTAAAGCACAATAAAGACAGTTTCATTCTAGTCTTTTTCATATTTTACATCACGTATTGATCTTACTCAAATAATCTTTTTCAATCACTGAACAGATTTTTTGTTGTAACATGAGACTCATCAGCATCCTTGCCGAGAGTTCGAACTCAGGGCCTTTGAGTCTCATGAAAACTCCCTAGTTCTCAACAAGTAGTTCACATATCTAACTGTAATAGATCTACAATGTCGCGTAACTATTTTCCGATTCTATTGATAAATAACTGCCTTATATTATATTGGTCACAGCTTCTCACCACAACTCCGGAAATAGCCTCTCGAAATTATTTACTAATAAATATATGATAATTAGTAGAAGTGTTTGTAGAACTTTCTGATCCTCATCAATAAAATAATCAATAATTTTTTGCTACATATAACAACAATAATAAGTGAATATTCTGGATACCATCAAATTATTGATTTTTTCATTTTGTACAATCAATTCCTTCTTCAATAGGTAAATAACTACTGATCAGCTGATATGTAGCACATTGAAATTTTATTTACTATTTATTTACTTGTTTATAGATTGAACAAAATATAAATATTTATTATTTGATATTTATTCATAAACCTTCAACCCTCCCCCTCATGTATATTTTTGTAAAGATGTACATATTCTCATATAAACACAAGTTTCCATGTCATAGGATTATACACACAATGAAATGGGGGTGGAACAGCCTCCCATTACTATGTGTTTCTCAATGGCCTTTAGTTGAAGCCAGTTACTGATATAAACTAAAAACCTAATAACTCCACCACCCATCTATTTTAATATACAATTATGTTCAAAAATAAAATAGGAGTGTGTACAACATAACGATGGCAGTAATTAAATGGTTCATTGTTAAGTTGTTAAATAATATTATTTAAAAAAACTGACCTATTTATGTGATAAGTAGATGTTGTCAACTAGTACATTTTGATCGGACAAATTAAGTGCATTGTATAAGTAGTAATGATTTCTGATAATGTTATTTAGGATTACAGTGAAAGCCCTAGTACGGCCCAGAGTGGGGAGAGCCCGCTCTCCCTCTCCAAATGCTCTCATATGGCCAAGCATATACAGCCTCTGACAGGGAAGTCCTAGTCACTGCCTTCTCGTGGCATTACTATTGTTCACGAAAGTGAGACCGAAAAGCGAATATCCGGTGCTTTAACCGAGTTGGTGGACACGGAAAGTCCACCTAGGGGAGTTGCAAAACCCTGATTCCAAACCAATGGTGCACATGGGCTCCAGTATCCTGAAGGAACAAATGACATATGAACCAATTACTGGACACCGACTACCATGGGACTGCATCTCCTCAC